CATGTTTCCTGGTCGGAGGAGCCTGTTCGTCGTGGAGTCTATGGCAGGGTTGGGCTACGCAACGACTACTACGTGCACATCCAACAGGCTTCTGCAAGGTTGAGGGCGGAGAACCCGGAATGGTCCAAGATGGAAGCTCTCAAAGAAGCTCGTCGAGAGTGTGCGTCCTAGTCTGTGAATCAATATCAGCGTACCCTAGAAACTAGATACTCAAAACGAATCAAAAAACACCTCCCTCTCAAAGGCTGTTTCATCCCTTGCCAAATCTGGGCTCCCAAACTCCTCGATACAAGGTGGCGTCAACATCCTACACGGGTGGCATCGATTCAGAATATGTCATCCTCTGAGATCAGCCGGCGACGTTTGAAGGTGCACGTTTCCATTCCTGCTGACGATGTTGAGATGGAAAATTCTCGGCGAGAGGAGGAGGAAGAGGAGACCGGGCCGACTCAGGAAGATGAGGATGCGAAGAATGATGAGGACGAGGGCGACCAGGGTGGATCGACTGGTCGCGATGATGCCGAAGGACATGAAGACCAGGACCTGGAGCGAAGGACATGAAGACCAGGACCTGGAGTCTGGTCGGGATGAGGATGATGCCGAAGGACATGAACACCAGGACCTGGAGTCTGGTCGGGATGATCATGAAGACCTGGAGTCTGATGCTGAAGAGATCCGAGCCGCTGAGGAAGAGAGTGAAGACGCATCCCAACCTGAACCTGAGGAGCCGACTGACTCCAATGCTAGCGCTCTCATTTTAGGGCAAAGCCCGCCTCGCAAAAACAAGACTAAGACTCGTCGGGCAAATTGATTTGTGCCTCGACAAATTTGGGGTCGCTGAGTCGTAGCTTGGTGCTATCAGGTAAAGAAATACCAAACGCATGAAGTACCGAATATGTGACAATGAACAATGGACTGTCAATCAACTCGTCTTAGTAGTAGTTGGATTGTTTTGCAGGTACCATGCTACGATGTGCAGTGTGGGTTTGCAATGAAACATTGCAATTATTGTAGTGAGCTCCTTAGCCCTGGAGTGATAGACTCTTACACTCTAGCCTGGAGATCTCAAGGGACGATCTTAGATGCGATGAGAACGTCAAAAAAAGAGCTTTTGTGTTCCTTTAGTTATGAAACTCCATTCATTTTCAGATTCATTCAATTCAATGATTGTCGATTGATTGTCTTCCTGTAAGCGTCTTATGATTCGACACCCGCCACCCAGCGCCACCCAGCGCAACTCTCCAGTCTCTCAACGATCCCCGTGACAGATGAGATCGCCCGCCTGGCCGAGTGCAAGTTCACCAATGACTTGGAGGATGTCGTCCTTGAAGTCCAGCAAAACAAAAGCATGGTTGACACCGACCGCTGCACCATAAGGAAGATGCTTCAGGAGTTCGAAAGTGAGGGCTTTTTGGACGTAACAATCAACGGTCACGAATTGGTTCGACCAAATGCTCATGATGGTAACTCAGCCTACTAGTCAGTCAAATCTGTTTGATTGCAGAAAGTCTTCAACCAATATTCAACCACTGTCCCCCTCACTCATACTCTAAAAGCCATAAGTAAGTAAGGTGATGATGACTGCTACCGCCTGAAGCCGAAGCCTCAACAAAATGCTTACAGTTGGAGCCTACCGTCCTCGACCAACGGCCTGAAGTACAGCTCGATGGCATCTATGTTCGATGAACCTGCACCTTGGCGGCGGACAGCATCAAAAAAGGCACCCGGAAAACCGCAAACCCGCGTCTTGCTTTGACTCTAGGCCCTGAAGGCTGCTCGACCCCTGAAGAGGGTGTGGCGGGTCTATTACATCAAAGAAGCCAAAGCCACTGGATTTGCACATTGGCATGCGACATGCGTTGACCCGACCCATGCCTTTACCAGAAACATGTTACAGGTCAGGTCCTGGTTGAATTGTTGAATTTGTGTTCCGAGGAGATCTCCCCAAGTTCTCTGGCTGCATTGGGTCGACAAACCAACAACCAGTCAGTGAGCCTCTCTCTTTTTTTGGCACTCCACTCAAAGAACAGATTTCGCATGATCTCACGAAATGAGGAAAACCGCTGTACTTTCTGAAGCAGAATCTGAAGCTGCAAGAGAATGAAGTCTTCCGTTTGGTTTGAGGTACCGCAACAAATTGACGATTAGTTCACGACATCAAACACGGTTCAGAATGTTCGGTTTATTGAAAGCCTCATTCAGCGCATATCAGCCGGTGACTGACGGTAGACTTCTCTTGAGCGTCTTGAGCGCCTTACTTCTAAAGGTCCAGGTCGAGAAGACCTGGCAAGTCGTAGGATGTGCCCCTGTGGCACGATCGAATCGACTTCGTGGAAATAAAGGAACATTCTGAGTTCAGTTCATTTTGTATCTCATGCATGCTTCAAGACATTACAGTAAGACTACCGTAAAGTGTGAACTCTGCTTTATGCAAAAGGTTCAAGTTCGACGGTTTCTCAGGGCGCGTCGGTTTTCGTGATTTTTGGTGAATCCCTATAGCACCAGGGCTGCTTTCCATAAAGGACTGACTGACAAATAGCTGATAGCTGTCTCTTGTCAGGCTAATGTCGTCCTAGTAACAATTTAATTATTCAATAGTCTTGCCACTGCAGGACCATGTGCCACGACTTCGACTCCCAGACTCCCACTACTTGATGAAGTTGAAGGCAAAGGGGTTTTCGTTGGTGTGCCGTGCGGTGGTGAGCAGAACAAATTTTGAGACATTTCCTCAACAAAAATGTAAACTTAAAGTTGGGTGCCCTATCCATTACGTGTGAAGGATGAGTATCGACAAAGCATTAAATAAAGGGCTGGTAGGGAATCAGCTAACACGAGCCTGAGTCAGTTTGATGCTCTCCTGTGCGTTGACCATCGCCTTCAATGAGGCATGGAGCTATCTGCCACGGAGCGTGCTCAATGGACCCCAGGCACAAATTGGGAGGGGGTGAGTGTGTCCAGCTAATCTCATCGTCATCAAAATACTTAATAATCGACTCCCTTCTTTCAGGTTTACCTTGAGTCAGGGTCCCTGTAATGCCTTTGCTGGTGGTGTTTGACGTATTTTCCAATCCCGCCACTGCAGGCCTCTTCGTCGTGCACCATAGCACGGGCTACGCGCTCATGTCCCTAATGTGATGCGCGGTCATCTCAGAAACATATTAAATATAGTAGCCTACCTGGTACCTACCTACTGTAGTAGCCTACCTGGTACCTACCTACTGTCGTCATGCGATGTGAGCCTGAGGCCATTCATTCGAATGAGATGCCTTCCCGAAATGTCATCGCGTTTTGTTGAAAAAACAGCGTTGTGTGAATGCGAATGCCGCTGCATGCAAGTGCCTTCTGAACTCATTCGCTTGTTGCGCACAATGATGATTGCTCTTTGGCTGAGGTTGGACCTGGCAACCTGACACCTTACAGAGGAGCGCTTGCGTATGGAACAGTGCTTGGTTTCCGGTCCAGGTATTTGATATTGCGGGGTGATAGAGTGTTGAATTGATATTGCGGTAGAATTGGATCCTATTGCGGGGCTCATATGTTGCGGGTGGTCCTAGATATTGCGGGTGATCATACGCAGGTGGATATTACGGGTGTGAGATATTGCGGGCGGTCGTATATACTGCGGGTGCCGTACTACCGGCGCCGGGATGCCGGGATGCCGGCGCCGGGATGCCGGCGCAAAGACCTCAATGCAAGCCATCGTTTGTAAGCTCGGCCGCTGGTAGGACCATTGGTCTAGATCTACCTGACAGAGTCGGAGATTGTCTTGCACCTGGAGGCGACTTTGGCGGGGAAGGGCAGTGACGGTGGTGGCGGTGGTTGTGGTGGTGGCGGTTGTGCGGTCACTTGGTGTGTCCGCTGCTGTAATCTTTTCAGCGGGGGATGGGGTGAAGACCAAGGGGAGATTGGTCTTCGAAAGGGATCGCAAAACAGTTCGTACACTCAAGACATAACCTAGTCACTTCTAGATTCATACTCAACCAACACTCAAGACACAACCTAGTCACTTCTAGATTCATACCCAACCAACGCTCAAGACATAGTACAGTGACTTCTAGATTCATTCATACTCAACCATCGCTCAATACATAACATAGTGACTTTTAGATTCATTCTCAACCAACGCTCAAGACATAGTATAGTGACTTCTAGATTCATACTCAACCAACGCTCAAGACATAATATCATAGTGACTTCTAGATTCATACTCAACCAACGGATGACCAACCATGTTGATGCCATGGCGGCCAAACAATTGAATGTCGATCTTCCTCAATCTGGTCTGGCTAGACGCCGTGCATTGCAAAAGATCTACGAGGAAACCCGAAGCTCGTTCGTTGCCTATTGAGTATCTGTTTTTAAAACTTAACAACACACACACACACGTTTTGTCTTCAGTCTTGGCTGCATTTGTTAGGAAAGAACAAGCGGCGCCAAAAGAAGAAGCCTTCAAAGTCTTCAAAGTCTGGCGATTCGATTGTTGATGATGGTGAGAGAGCTCTGATAGATGAAAATGCACGTTTACGATTGAAGGTGGAGGAACTTGAACGCCACCTTCGGGCCGCTAAACGAGATTTAGCCAAGACCGAAAATCGTGTTTGGGAGCTTGAAACAAGCTTACGCACATTTAAGCTGCTGTCCATACGCAAGCCATGAAACCGGGGGATGTGTGTTGAAAAGGGCGTTGAGGTCTTCTTTGGAACGTTCAGTCGTGATGGCTTTTCATGTTTTCAACTTGAGTTTGAGATTGCTGCACCGGCCAGGCGGCTATGCTGACTGAAACTTTGTGATCTTTTCCGCGTTGAGAAAAAGAGTGCAGGGTGAAGTGGAACAAAGGCTGTACAACCTGAATCTAAAATGATGATACCTAAATGCAAGGAAATTGACTTCTTAGTGATAACTGGCCGGCGCTGGTCGTTGAGAAGCGTTCTGAAATTGGAACAGGGGCCGACCAACGCTTCAACACGTCTAGAAAGCAGAGCAGAACAACCCTGATTGAGGTGTGCTTGAGGAGTTTGATCGCTCGGCAGCAGATGATGGCTGTCAAAATTCAGGCCTTTTATCGCGGTTGGAAAGGCCGGCGACGCTTTCGCTCAAAGCTTGCAGCTCACCGGGCGCAGGAGAGCTTTGTGAACGAACGGCTTCAGGGGCTTAAGCGGACTTCCAAATGTGGCAGCCATTTAGGATCATTAGGTATTTCTTGATTTCGGTGTCAAATAGGTATCATCCTGGATGTTGTAGTTGACAAAGTATAGTTGGGAAAGGTCTGGGAAGATCTTGTTGACATGAGTAGACATGCAAACCCTCAGAACTACTTAATGCGAAGACCGGATTAATAAACCCCCCCACGTGGAAGGTCTAGAAGGTCTAGATGGTCTCAGGTACCATTCATGAGGTCCACCTCCGGGAGCAATCGTAGTCGTAGTCGTAGTAGTAGTAGTAGTAGTAGTAGTTGTTGAACAATACGAAAAATTGACCTGGTTGTGGGCTCGGGTTAACTGGGGGGGATTTCTGGTGCCCAACTAGACCATTGGGGGGAAATCAACCACCAATACTACTTTTAATTTGGGCAATTTTTCGGTGCTTTGTGGGCTCGGAGTAACTGGAGGGGATTATTAATCCTGACTTGACATTACTGTAGGCACAAATACACCCCTAGAAAAATGCTGAACTTGGCCGTAGCATGAGTTTTTTCTATAAGACAACAGACAACATAGTAAAAGGAATTAAGGGAAGTAAGAAAGGAAGGAAGGAAAAAAACAGGAAAGGTCTAGGTCTAAAACAAAAAAGACATGTATACTGTATACCGTATAACGAAGAATATTGGACCTTCCCAGTCTTAACTATGAGAGCGTCGCAGGAGAGGAAATGCCCTTTGGCCGCACCAGCAAGACTTTCTTCACCATGTTGCTTCATTGGGTCTTGGGAGTTCCACTTCACCGGAATACAGACACGATTTGGTGTTGGCAGGCATGGGGCCATCATTCATTTCCACTGATCGTCTTGGTAAATTCATCTCTTCATTTTGATCCATCGTGCATAAGGCGAACATGTGTTCCCTGCATGTCATGTACTCCACGGCATGGCTCTTCAGCAACACTGACTCTGAAATGTTGACGTTCATTGGCCATTGGGGTCTTGCCAAGCAGCATGTTTTTGGGGGCGAACATGCATGATGAACATTCTTTACTGATTCAATATGATTCAATATGATTCAATCATTTGAACCAGTTGTCCCATGTGTTCACTTTGTCCTCGATTTATAAAGCCTTGGGAGCTTGGGAGCTTTGTTTTGTGTTAGATAGACTTAGTGACTCTTTTGAGATGCCAAAATTTTGCCACCGGGAGCAAGAAGGAGGACGAGGAAGAAATCGGCCACCAGGGTTCAATGGGTAGTCAACTTGGTCCACCAACAATCTGTCCAGGTACTTCATACAAAGCACTACACAAAAGAGCGCAAAAGGTGCGCCCCGCCGGCGCATATCCAAACTTGGCCACCTCTAAGCGTGCTTTGGCCAGAAGCCCTGATGGGCGCAGGCTACCGACTTCCTCGCCCACCTCCCCACGATTCTACGGGAAGCCACTGGCCTGAGATGGTCTATGTCCGATACATGGAGATGATGTGCAACACCCGATGGGAAAGTGTCAGAGTTTGCGTATTGATTCAGATGAAGCTTGGGCACAACCCATTTGAGATTCCCCAGGTCAAAACGGGCCAACCGCGTGCATCAAATTGGAGGTTCTGAACAGCCTGCAGTTTTTGCCCAACGCCGTGGTCAACAGAGCACATCCCTGCAGCAGCACAAAAGATCAGAGTGCTGCCCTCGATGGATTCGCAAGGTCTTGGGTCCATGGATTTCAGGGTTAAGAAAACCTTTAGATATTGTTGGCAATAACCTATTCCAGAAAAACAACACAAGCGATGAGTATCAAAGTGAGCATCAAAATGGTATAAGTATCCCCATTGAAATTTCCCCTATGAAAAGGGAGGGGTCAAGCCCCATATAAACCGTATAAACCGTTTATAGAGGGTCATTTTGTAAGAAATCAAGGGGTCGTACCCCTATCATTTTGTAAGAAAATAATGGGAAATAGGGGTACCCATTTTGTAAGAACTTATAAGTATCCATTTTGTAAGTATTTGAGGGGTGGCTGTAGCTGTAAGATTAAATCCTGTGATTTTATAAGACATGTGTTTTAGGAGCAAACTCATTTTGTAAGCGTCTATGATGTCTGTCCTTTTGCCTCATGGTTGGATGCATAAACTATGTGGTGGATGCACCAATGCATTCTATAAGGAAAAGCAAGCACAGATGAAACATTGCATTTTGTAAGAAACCACCATTTTGTAAGAAATAAGCAATCCTGTGACCCGAGTTCAAAAACAATCCTGTGAGCCATGAGTTGCCCAATTTACCCAATGTCCTGTAAAAATCAGGACCAATACAGTTCTAGATGGGGAAACTGCTGGAAAACATTATCAGCGATTGGAGTGCAAGGACAGCTCGACAACATGGAATAGAAAAAGACAGTAATTTTGTAGGTTGAATTGGCAAACTGGGAGGCTAATCCTTACAAAAACCATTGGCGTGGCTTATGCTGCTAGGGAAAAAGGACTGCAGCTGTCTCCTTACAAAATGAATTGTGATTCCTTATAAAATGAGTCGCTTTTGGGGGCCTCCCAAACTGGTTCGAGTCTGATGTACCAACAGTAGAAAGCATTCAGCTCTTACAAAATGAAGGGCGCAGCAATCTCAGTGCTTGACCCCACATTTTCTATAGATTGATGGGGGGCAATGGCCAAAAATAATGCTTGTTGGCCCTTTCATTTTGTATGCCTGACAGTTGGATGCACCTCTGTCTTTTGTAAGAAGTCTTGCTGCACCCCACAGGTTTATACTACAGAAAGTGGGGTCTGACCCCTCCCCCTAATTTTAACGGGGATGTATAAGTTATAAAAGGATATAAACGGTGGTTGCACCAGTTGAAATAATCTCTGGACTATGTGGATAGACAAGGGAAAAGAGTTTGCACGGCGGAAGTTCAGCAGAAGGTACATGCTTGACCTGCTAGCAGAGGGTTGCAAATCCGTTGTGAGCCTCCAATTCACGGCGTTCGTTCCTACTTCCGCATGGCAACATGCGAAGCTAAATTTAGGCACGAGACTGTCAGGCCATCACGCCACCAACCGTCTCAGCCCCAGAGAATGTTCACAAATCATGTCATGTGTCAATGTGGAGTGAACGAGTGTGAACATGTCAAGAGTGATCAGCCAAAGCTTTAGCATTGGCACTTTGCTGAACAAAAAGAACCCAGGATGCTGCAGTCCTTTCCTCGTTGCAGCAGCTCGCGGACACCTCAGATTGCACAGAGGTCATGGGGTCAAAAGTGACTTTGATATATACATATATATATATATCCCTTTCTGTCGGATGTTCGGTGTTGAGAACTACCTGACCTGATGCTGTAGTCTGCACACGAACACCAGAGGTTGAACTCAGCGCAGTGGAGCTGCGTGAGCTGCCCGGTGTTGACTTGGGTGCGTTGTCCAGGTGGCGGGATTTGGAGTCCGGTCACAGTGGGTATTGACGATGTGGTATGGGTAGAGTGACACGGATCCGATGGATTCATGTGACATGCATGACTTGATTCATTGATTTCTGAACCGCAAAAAACGGCTTGCAACTTGCCACATGCTGTCATTTGCGTTCGACAAGCAGAAGTGAAAGGACGAACGGGCAAATCGATACAGAAGGTGTGGCAGGGGACAGAGGCCGATCCTGACTGCAAAGCTGAGGAAAGTGACAGATGATGATGAGATTGGCGCTCGGGGCTGGGACAAGGCGGTGATTGCGTGTTGAAGCTCCGCAGTCCCGATTGATAGCGACTGATCATTAAGGAGTCTGACAGTTTGGCGGAAACTTTGGCATCCTTGAGCCAGTTCCTTTCCTTCGCTTTGCGGCACAGGCACACCACTCAATAGTAGACCCACCCAAGTCACCCAAGTGAAAAAACAATCGCTCGTGGTTTATCGAATTGATCTGGGTATGGCTTGGGCGGTTCTCCACCCAGTGAAAGTCATCCCTTCAATTTCATGTTGGTCCAAAACCTTTTCACCAATAAAGGAGCACACATCACATATACCAAACAAGGGGACGCCAACGTTCCTGCAGCGCAGGAAGATCAACAGAGGCTCCTCAAAGCCAAGCTGCGCCCTAGCAAGAAAGCCTCCGCTGTTTCGGTTCAGGGGCTCAAGTGGAAGATTGACAAATCGTCGCAGGTATCTTTTGTCCGGCGAAAGGTGCGAGAGTTACAATCTCGACAGAGCATTCAGCTGTTTGTTGTCCTTTGCGGATCGACAGCGGTTGGGAACACGATTCTGCTTGACTCTGAGGTCCTAGTCCTAGTCTTGCAAGAGAACAGCCGTAGTACCATGTTTGGTCTGTAAAGTTGTAAAGTTGTTTAAACCTTGTCAACAGAAGGGGCTGACCCAACCAGTAGGCACGGCTCAGAAGCTATGGCTAGGACCGATGAATCACAGTGAAAATGGACGCTTTGATGCTCTTTGCTGCCTTGTTTGGACTCCAAGGCGCTTAACTCCCCTTGGGAATCACCTGGCGCAACTCCCTGTGGACGCTGGCTGTGCTAAGCTCCTGGTGCCTGAGCCTTTCTTCCAGGGGATGGCAGTAAGGCCATGGTGATCTCCACGTAGTTATACCCTGCCACACCTCCTTGGTTCAAGGGGCTATAGGCAACGAAGCCATGTGTTTGTGTAGACTGAGCACCCTCATTGTTTGATCTTGAGTGTAAGACTCGTAGAAGCAGCAGCTGCAGTTGGAGAATTCTCAAAAGCTGACAGCAGTCAAGGGCATTGTTGTGAGCCTGCTGCTCATTGATGTACACATTCACTACATTCAGTCCGGCTGACAAATCACATGCCTTGGATGTGGGCCTAGGCTGTTTTTTGATGTAAGCCTTTAGGACGTAAGATGGCCCAGTCGCCGATCGGATAGTTTTTTCATTGCTGAGAGCCTGGTGCCGTTTGTTCTTTCTCAACCGATGTCTAAAGGCGTCCTTGTTCGTAGTAGTAAGGCCAGGAGCCCCTAGTAGCGTCCTATCGCTCCTATTGCTCAGGTGTTGGGCTGTATCTTTGGCATCCCGAGAGACGTGTGCACGGTCGCAGCTGCACTTTCTGTCAAGTCCCCGTTTGCAGTCGACATCTCAGGAACCGCGGTGCGGTGCAGCATGCACATGTTCTGTGGCAATCTACTTGCGGGCCAAAGCTGGTCAACTGGGAAGCACATGAAGCAAATAATTTAAGCTGTTGTGTTCCATGAGTATTGGACTTGCAAGGGTTGTGCTCCATACATGCCTAGCATGATCAGTCCCTGAGAACGAAACTGATTTGAGGTCAATGCCGACGGTAAAGGTAGTGGAAAGGGGGCCAGTGAACAGCGCAAGGCGGGAAACGGTCGATGTGCTCGTCTCAAAACGATCGATCCGATTGCATCCGATTACGATCCGGTGTTCAAGATTTAGCTAGAAGCGGCTTCTATGCTTGGACCACCTTCACGAAAGAAGGTTTGATCCTCATTATTCCAAATTTAGAAGGCAAATATCAGAGTAGAATATAGTAGAATGTTCTTTTGGAATGCATATATTTGTTGTTGCTGGCATGCTTGTCAGTGAACACGACTGACAAACAAGGAGGGTTCTTTAATGGACTCCGGATCTATACATGCATGTGTTCATTTAAATGACACCAGTTGCTGTCCAAAGTGACCGCCCGACAGTTGGATTTCGCGGGCGACCTGGAAAGTGATCAGCTACTTCTTGTGACACTTTGCTGAAGACCTTTGCCAGGGCAAGCTGAGCGCACGCGTGAATTTTGATCTAGACTCTAGACTGACTCCAAACCCAATACCTTCCAACAGGAGTATATGATGCAAGTGTCCATCATTCATTCCATTTGCTGTAGAGCCTAGTTTTAGGGCGCCGAAGATAAACCGTCGAAACAATCGATTGCGAGTTGAACACCCTTTGGGAAACCATGAAGTCTTGGATCCAACAAAGACAGTTGTGACAATTCTTTCCTCCAAGATCCATGCGGGTAGAGACATGAATCATCGCTCGGTTCAGGAAGCTCTTCGAGCATTGGGAAGAACTTGGAAGACACACCCAATCAGCACGGATGTGGTGCCGAGAGAACAGCCTGAAGCTTATATACTGTAGCTGCTGTAGCTGCCGTTTGAACAGGCTGATGTGGAAGACCGGCTTCCGGGGAGTGGGGGCCTGCTGCTTTGGCCGGTTTGGAGGGTTTCTTGTGTTGTGTTGGTGCAATGTTTTGGATGTATTGGCGCCTCACCCGGTCATGTGGTCATCCACGCCTGGGCAGGTGGTCAACCCGGATGCACCTGAAATCCGGTCCATGGAACACATAGATAGGTCAAGACAGCTGCTTGGCTCGGAGCTGAGTTGCAGGCACCATGCAGACCAGAGCAACCGACAGAGGTCCCCAACGAAAGCTTCGCCTTTGTTTGTGTTCCAGCATTGATTTAAGGGAATTTCTGCAGGAAGCCCATAGCTTTAGGGGTGAAAAACATGGTTGTCCTGAGTTGTCCTGTAGATTTTCCCTTTATAACTTTTTAAATATAACTTAACCCATATTTACCATTCCATTGATTGCGGTAATGTTTTGGCAGAATTGGACTGATTGAACAGACATGGCTAATTCTAGCTCCAAGGCCTTGACATTCAAGCTTTCGAAAGTGCTTCCCGGCAGCGAGAAACGACACGGTCACTGGTGGCAAACATGAGGAGAACTGAAGATGTCACAGCTGTGCCAGAATGGCAACGGAAAACGTGATTTCATGCCAGAATGAACAGTGACTATGGTTCAAGTGATTCTGTGTTTATGTTTTGGGCAATGGTATTTAAAACGATATGCTGCTTTATAGATTTAAAGGATACACTAAAATGAGTTGGCCTCTACATGCTCCCTTTGAAAGCGACTTAGCCTGGAGTCGTTGGTCAAGTTCTGCCGAGTCAGCGACCGCGGTGGTCAGGGTCATGCAGCCTAGACAGCAGATCAAAAGGCTACTCTAATTTCACCCAAGACTGACATTCAGGTGTCCTGGAGGAGCTGTCAATAGCTGCCATATTCTGAGCCATTCACTGCGCCAGATTTGGAGGGAACCAGCATGGTTGCGTAACAAATAACATGCAATTGAAGTTGCCATTGTGGGCCGGCTGCACCAGATTGTTCCAGCCAGGACAAGATAGCTGGCTCCCCAAAGAAGGCTAACACTGTTATACCAGTCATTCATATCAAGTGACAGTCTTCAGAGCGGCCCAGGTGTCTGATATGCGCCGTCACCTCCTTGGAATTTTAGTTGAACAAGGTTTGCCCACCGAGGGGGGAACCTTCGTTGTGAGGCTAGGCTTGCTGAGGCCGACAAGATTTAAAGCGGAAGTGTGATTCAGCCACAAACGCAAAGGATTATACTAGATAATTAATCTTAGTCACGTTCTAGTTGAAGTGAAAGCTGGCAGAATGCCAGCACGGTCCACAAAAGACTTGAAGCCGACCTGACTCCTTTTTGCAGGATTTGCCATGCAGGAGCAGACCGAGGAAGAGAGGCCCGGTGTGAGAGAACACTCCACCTGACATGACTCTTGTATATCCGTTGTTGATGTTGACCAGTACATCTGTGAGATTGAGATTCAGTGTAGAGAGTCTGCAGGGTTCTTAGACAAAAACTATATAGATCTACCACTTATAAAACTACATAGATCTCTTGCTTTGTGAGGCCTGGTTCCAAGCTATCAACGATGCCAGCCTGCCTTTCCAGCTTGATCCATGCGAAGGAGGAGTCTAAAGGGTGGGTTTGGCTTGCCATCAGCTACACACATCGGTAGCCTTATCCGATCCCGATGCCAACATACCAACAGGAGTTTGGCCGTCGGCGTTTCCAGCTCTTACGCTCGCTGCTGTGTGCAGCACTATGGCCAAATGTAACATTACTGTCGCCTGGGTCGCAGTTTCCCAGGGCCATGTCAAATGAGGCCTTCAAAATCAACTGTGCAATATGCGAATTGAGTGATTGAAAATCGGTATGTGGCTTCTCAAATGAATTGGCTAGTAATTGTACTTGAGTCACACGACCTTGCGTTTCAGAGTCTGCGTTGCTGGGTCAACCTCGTCACTTACGATATTTCAAAGGTCAAATTGCTTTCGTGCGTGTTCCCCCACAAAGACGACATCCATGGCTCCGCGTTCCATTCGGCTGAGGAAGGGCAATGGAACACTTTTTGTACCTTGCTTTCATTAAGACAATGTGAGTGTCGTGGAGTCATGCACGCCTGCAATCTGTTTGCTCGAAGGTCTAAGTCATGTTCGGTCCGTCCTGTCTATACCCGGGAATATACATAGAGTGGTAGAAATACTATACAATGCAATCCTCTGGCAGAGCCGGAGTGCAGAAGCTTCCCCACATGTTTCCACTGCACAGGCTAACGAACGCAAGCCCCAACTTTTCCTTGCGCAGCCCTCACAGTGTGTAAAGGATTCTCCACTTCCTGCCCCCACTGTCACAGACTAGCAAACTAAGAACTCAGTCTGTCCTTGTGCATACAGGGTTGTCCTTCCCCAAGTGAACCCACAAACTGCAAATACATCACCCTTGGCGCAGCCCTGACAATAGGGCAGCGATCCGCAGCTCTGACAGGTTGCGCACATGTTTGTACATGATATTGATGTTCTGGGAAACTAGGAGTGATTTTTTGCGAAAGATCCACGAAAGTTTCGCGAGTGTGCCATTAAGCCACTTCCAAAGTTGAGCCTCCACCACCCCCGGCTGCATTACCCTGTATCGTTAGCTAGCATGAGGGTTGGATTCAGTTGTGCGTCACTCTATTCTAAGCCTCCTCCCGGATATTCCCCAAGGTGTGTCGAACACATGCTGCAAGCGACCCTAGGGTAGCTCTAGCAACTCTCAACCCTTCTGTGTAGGTCATGTTGCAAGAGATACTTTACTTGCTTATACCCAGAGAGTCAAAAGACATTGCTTTTGATGGTCGCTTCCTTAAAGTCTATTTATGTTTGGTCGTTTGTAAACCACGCTTGATCACACTCAACTACGACGCCCGCCCACGCTCTCTTTTGTGGTCAGGTCATTTTGACCATGTTCAGCGACACATCACCAGCCCTTTCTCTTCATTGAAGTGTTTTTTCAACCTTGCAGCAGGCTAGTCGCGATTTGAGCATCATTTCCCATGGCTGGCTGTTGGCTAGACTGGCCACAAAACCATGAACTTCTTGAGTTAGAACTGATTGGGAACCTTGCGTGCTGGTGTTTGAGGTCGCTGTTGATCATGAATAGGCCATGTGGCCCTACCGTAGCCTGCATGTGCTGCACTAGGGAGGCGAAGAAGGCTCAAAACCACGTGCCAACTGACCTGATGACCTCTCGGGTGTGACAACATTGAATCCTGGGGTTTACTTGGTTTAAATATATTCAATTTCAATCATATTGAATCATATTGTTAATTTCCCATTGGTTTAAGACCTTGCTTCGCGATGAGGCCGTGAAAGATATATATATATACACACACTTTTTTCCGCAACAATGTGTCATTCCACCGATTCTACCAGTGTCCGTCAGGTTGTGAGATTCAGGCTAAACTTGATGTAGCATCTCCTCAACTCCTCAAGACAACACCAAGTCTGTGATGCAAGAGTTCAGCTTGGAGAAGATGCCGATTCCAATAATCAGCCAAGGCTCGAAACTCAGCCACCTTGGGATTTCATAGCTCAAGCATTTTAGCCCTGCAAATGGATCAAGACAACGACTCTGGCGAGCCTTGGAACACATCGGTTTGACGCGGGCTTGATGCCGCAATCGTGAGATTGGGTTTTCAGACGATTTCCTTGTTTTTGGTGGCCAAATATCAGAGGTGTGGTTTGGTAAATGATGTAAATGCGCTATGTTTTCTTAAGTTGTCGGAGCTGCTTGCCTTACAGGGCACCACGCACCACACCACACCCAGTGAACCTGCCTAGTGTGGCCATTGTTGGGGACGCGCGCTTGTGACTTTCTTCAATAACGGTTCACCTGAGAAGTCAGATTGCTGGGAGTGTTACTACTAGTAAGGCACTTGTTCCTAGTAGCGATGCACTTGTTTCTAATAGTAACAAGTAAGGCACTTGTTAGTAGCCTATTTGAGCTTCTTTGAGGACTGGACTTGCCCGCACTGCGGGTTCTACAACTTCGCCAGCCGCCAGGACGAAGTTGTCGTGGGAAGCACTTGCTGGACAGCGAGACATGAGTGATATGTTTCTAAGGTTAAGGTTAAGGAGGTGACAGCAGAAGGGTAAGTCCAGTGCTGGAGGGAAGTCTTCGAGGTCACCGATTGGATCCCATTCTTACATGACATCGGTTGTTCTACTATCAGCAAGTGCTTGAGTAACTCCACTCTGAAAAACCATTTTGGTATCACCTCTAGCTCAAATATATGACAACCTTGCTTTTTCAAACGTGATCACACCATTGAGGAGGAGGGTTTGTATCCGATGATGGTTTATTTGAAGGTCTTGTTACTTTTGCTGAAAGGTTTTGATCATACAGATCTACGTAGCCTTTGATTTCGGTTCTGTTGCTTTGTTGTTTTGGATATCCTCCAGGCCCGACTCGTCCAACCGCAAAGTACGCAAGGAGTGCAAGAGTTGTTGGGCTGCACGAGCATCCTCTCCACCTAAGAGGAAGGCCAGAAGGATTCCAAAGCGATGACAAAAATACATCAGCCGAGCCAAAAACCGAGGACATGTGCTTGTTTTTTGGCATGTTCATCAATTTTGTTGCGTTCTAAAAATCCTGTCATACTCACAGCTGTGAGGCGAGACCACTTCGACACCGTGCTTTTATGCCACTCGGTTGCCAAGGTGTTCTTAACTTTTGCATTGGAAGTTGGAAGTAATGTTAAGGACTTGAAAGATGAACATGCCCGAGAAAGTCCAGGTCAAGTGTCGAGCAATAAGATGTTGAGGCTCAAAGATCTTCAAAGCAACCATGCAAGCTGAGGTTTGGTGAGAAAGTCCGTTCTTTGGCAAGTGGTGTCCTGGTGGATGGTGGGCTGGAGCAGATGGCTAGCCGTAGTTTTGCTGGTTGATCATGCGTGGACAGTTCAGTTGATCGGACATATTATCATTCATTGAGAAGTCGACTAAGGAAGTGCATCCAGTGGCGAGACTTTGGTGATACTAGTATGTTTCAAACTTTGGGCCCTTAACTGGTGACTTGCACGTGGGATATAATATGGTTGGTGGATGTTGGTTGTTTTCTTAGGGAAGATCGTGTAGGACGAGCAAGAAGCATGTGAAAAATGAGTTCGTGCTCCAGATCTTGCCTGACCGGATAACACTAGCTAAGTAAAGGACGGTGGCAGACATGACAAGATACACATTCTGCACAGTGGCCACAATTTGACTCTGGTAAGAGTGTCGCACACACACACACTTAAGATGAGTGCTCCGCGGAGCTGCGCTTCAGAGATGCGCGGGGAACATTAGCTCTTTACATTACTGCATTGGCCGACGAGCACTTAGCACTTGACTTGAAGTAACGGCAAGAATGCAAAATCAGGCAAACAGAATGTTTTAACAAGGGTGAAAAGGGAAGAATTGATTAAACAATTCGCAGGTACAAGAGCCGGCGTCCCAGCTCTCTTCCAACTGATTTCTGTAGCTTCGCTGGCACGGATGGGAAATCAGTCTCCGTGCCCCCTGCGGACGAACTGTACAGGTTGAGTGAAAGAGTGGTAGGTAGTGGGTAAGTAGCGCCCCTGGAGACGGGGTTGGACACACACACACACAACTTGCCGATGTCGGCGCAGCTAGAGGTAGTGCTAGAGGTATGAAGTGCAAAAGTCAGCTGCCAGTAAGCAGCAGCATTGGATGTTTTCTTTTTTCGCATCGAACCAGGCCCAACGTAATCTATCAAGTTTGCCGTCCTCAGGTTCGGTAATGTTTGGTTCACATTCAAATTTTGATTGATCATGACAGGTCTGACATCTTGAGTCCCACAGAAATTGTTGGGTTATTTTTCATGAGTTCATGTCCAAATGAAACCTGTGAACCTAGACTTATGAACACAACATTGTGAGGCCCCAGCCAGAAGGCGCAGACGCTTTGCCGCGACTGCTGCGGAGTTTCACTGAAAGCCTTGTTCCTGTTTCTTGGCAAAACAGTCACTCTTGTGCAGAGTTTTCATGGAAAGAGGAGAATCAAGTCAGGGAGGGGGTCTTTGTGCAGACGTTTTCCGTTGTGAAGTGCTGAGGTTGGGACATCGAGTGGAGGTGGACTTCTTGAAAGGCCTGGACCGGGGCACAATCAAGCCAGACTGGGCCGTACACTGACTCCTCCTTTTTCCTTCATGTGATGTCGTTTGATCTTCCGTTTTAAACACATCACTCACCTGCCGTCATAGATTTGTCCAACTGAAACCTTCAGACTGCAAGAATCGGTTGACCCCAAAATATGTCGAAAGAGGTGCTTTGTGCACCACAAACCACGCTTTGGCTCAAGTGGACCATGGACTTGTTCAGTCCATGTGTGTGCCGTGCGCGGCGCGAGGCCGCATGTCGATGGATGGTTGGATCCACTGCCAGGCCGAATGGACGGTCGACTTTCGACCCACTGTCGCCTGCACGGGGATTTGCTCTACGCTTTTCCAGGTTTCCTTTATAGTGTGGAACAGATCGCAACACGATTCCGCAATGGTGTTTGGTCAGAAAGAAAAGTGCAGCCTCGGCACCTCTAAATAAAAGAGCAGTGACGCATCGCCCCTTATATACAATGACAAAGGTGAATGGAGGAAAAGGAAGTACAGTACTTACTAACTTGGCAGATCATGCCTACATCATTGCTGAGTGGGTGTTGCCGTCTGGGAAATCAATGATCAGCATGTTCTTGACCATCGCTTCAGAACATGGCGATGAATCCTGCGGTCATTTATTCAATGCAGTTCCTTCCTTTGCCTTCACGGTTGGATTCCGTATGTCCACTTCACATGAAGGTAACACGGCACAAACGGCTTTTGAGCGTGTCATTGAATGGAACAGAAGCGGAACTCATTCAATATTTGAATAACTTCAGATCCTTGACCTGCCTTATCAATTCTTGGATCCTGCGCATTGTGGGTCGTTTCGTTTGTGGCCGGCGATCCAATCTCTTTGCAACACAGAAATCAACGGAATATTGTTATTTGATGTCATTCCTACAAGAGGTCGAACGAGGGGTGAGGGGTGTTGCACCATTTGCATTCATTGAGGAACCTCGTCAGTCCCCTGCCAGTCCGGTCGTCCAGGCCGCACCTCGGGATGCCTCCATGCTCCTGGGGATGAGACGGCGTTTGCAGGACGGAAAATCAGATGTCGATGGATTGGTCGGTGAACAGAGGGGTGACGGGTGTACCATGGTGTATTTGTATAATGTTTGAGCCATACCACGGATTGTTAGTACTTGTGGCAGTTGATGCATAAGCAGAGTTATATACTGTTGTGTTGGCTTACAGTAGCGCGGCAACAACGAACCGAAACAACAAACCGACAACGGCCTGACCCATTGCACCAATCCAGCTGACCCATTGTACCGTCAGTCTTGCCAGCTCGACCTAGTTCTAAAACCCATTATCTGCCAGGTGTCCAAATCGCTGGTCAGGTCAATGTGGCTTCTTACCACCAAGCGGGAACATGCACATCCCTAGGTTGCCAGCTTTGTCGGAATCCCATGGCAGTGGTGATGCTTGTGGTGTGGAACCCACACGGCCCCAGGACGTTCTCACACGTCGGCTGGCTCGAAAGACTGGCATCTCTCCAGAGGATGCTGAGGCGTTCTCACCCGTTGTGCGACTGCATTTGTCCGATCATGCGTAGGAATCTACAGGGTTCAGCCCAAGTGGTTGACGGCGCATCCAAAACGTCCAGAGCAAGAATTCGCCTGATTTTTTCTGACTTGATGTGACTTCCAATCCCTGATTGAAAATTGTTAGCCAACATGCATTCAAGGCAACATGAACACAAATTATATCAAATTAGTATGAATCACACTACGATACTATAGTAGATTGCATGTATGTTTCCTGATTTTGGCGACAAGAGGCAACCAACATTCTTGACATTATCTGATGTTATAGGAAAATATGAGGAGATTCTATATTAATCTGTATTATTTCAATGCCAGGTCGTAAATGTCATGACCCAAATATTGGTGTTAGATATTGAAATTTAAATCGATCAACAAATTGAATATAAAATATATTGTCCCTATAATTCTAATAAATATATACAAATAAATATATAAATAAAAATAGAATTATAGATATATAATCTTAATTAATTGAAAAAAAAATATATATTATTATAAATAAATTAATTGAAATGGATTATAATTTATATTTAAATTGTTATTTAGTTAAATATTATCTTATTTTTAATATTTATTTATTATAATATAAAATATTGGTTATGATGATATTTTGTATTATTATATATTGGATTTTTTATATAAATATTATAGCAAATATATAAGGTGTTTTTTAATAGAAAATGAACATGAAATAATGAATAATATATTTTTATTATATGTTTAAATTAATGTGAAATTAAATCAATATTTTGTATTTTTTTATAATAATATATTATTGTTTAGATATTTAAAATATATAATATGATTATAAAAAAATATTAAAAAGATATTTTATAAATATAAAATATATTGAATTTCTTTGTAAGAACATAAATATAGATATTATTTAGAATAGAAAATTATATTTAAAATAATAATGGATTATATTAATTTGAAAGGAAAATATTTATGAATAATAAATTATAGTATTCTTTTTTAATTTCCGGACAAATATATGTGAGCCACGGTTAAAATATGCGAAGACCACTTTAGTAAAGAGAGAGGTTTGTATACAAAACTTTGTAAAACGATAAGGTCCATCTCAAAATCGATAACCCCAGCGTTATATATGATTATAAGTATGCGATGAATTCAAAACGCTGTAAAACGATAAGGTTCACTTCAAAACCGATGATGTCTATTTTTTAGCTGAAGAAGAATAAGGAATTTTGACCGTCCCTTATGTATTTGTTTATATTTTCTATTTGCATAATTGTAATTTTTCATATTTATTATTTTTATTTATGCGTAGAGGGAAATGAATCAAATTAAGCATATTTAAATAACAATATATTATATCTTTTTTGAAAGGATAATATAAATGAATAATAAGGATACATAATTATCTTTAATATCTTTTAATTAAGATAAATTGATATATATATGTTTGTATTTTCTTTTTGAATAATTTATAATTTTTTTTAATTATTTAAATATTATATGTCTATTTATTTATTCGTAAAGGAAAATGAAAAAGATATAATTATGCTTAAAAGGAAGATAGAAAGAAATCATATATTTTAATATAAAAGGAATTGGTTTTCTTTAAATGAAATTCAAAAAACATAAAAAAATATAAAATATTAATGGACCGCATTTAGGAATAAAAAATTATATATAATTCCTTTTAATTTCCTTTAAATAGGATAAATTGATATATTTCTTTTAATTTCCTTTTTACATATTATTTCTATTTATTTATGTACAAAGGAAAATGAATAGAATTAATCATATTTAAATAGTTATTTGTCATTGGTTATAATAATTTTATAAGGAGAATATAAATGAATAATAAAGGATAAATATAAAACAAGGTGAGGAGGGGAGGGGGGGGGTGTTCAGAATTCTATGGTGGGGGGAGGGGGGGGGGGGGGGTGCCCCCAACTCTTGAGGGGAGGGGGGCCCCCTCCCCCCCTTCAAGAGTGTAGACCCCCCCCCCCCCCTCCCCTCCCCTCAAGAGTTGTGAACAATCCCCCCCTTCCCCTACCACCACCACAGAGTGCTTGCTTGTGCTCCGCTTCCATAAAGGAATGGCTGACTGTTGAAAGAGAACATGAAAGGAAATCATCACCATTAAAAATAGAAATGAAACGAAAAAAATATGTTCAAATGACGAAAGGAATTGACCATTTTGTGTAAACAATGCTTGTCAGATATGAAATTTGCAACCTGGGTATCAAATTGAAATGCATAACATATATGAAACGTGCAAATCGTGGTAGGGCAAAACGCCCAACAAACCAACATATTAAATATTTATAATATAAATATGATATTGCTAATTAATCACCTTACTAATATCTTTTATTAAATGGGGAGGGTCTACCCTCCCTCCATATTTAGAATTATGACCCCTACCCCTTGGGGGGCTTAATTCCTTATTTTATAGAGGAAATTGCTTCTGCATGATGGTGCCGTTGCTTTCCATTATTTTTCTGAAGCACCTGCAAGATGGTAATGTTTGTTCATGAACAAAAAACAAGTGATGGAAATACTATGAAAGAATAGGAGATATAGGAAAGGTAAGCAGGTCTGATATTGAAGCACAAGGAAATAGAAAATATAGGATTTTTTGAATTCCGCGCACCACCTTTGTTGTGCGGCCAGTTGTTTTTACTTTTGTTTTTTTTGTTATCTTTTTTTTGATGATATTGTAGATCTCGTGTCGTGGGTTGTGTCTTTGGAATTTTTTTGGGACGCAGGGGTTTCTTAACGAAATCCTGCTAGACTTGAGGCCAGGGGGAGGAGGTCGAAAGCTAGCGGAAGCGCACCGGACTTTTTCGGCTGAGAATTGTAAAGAGGAAAAACATTAAAGCAAGACAAATAAGAGTGCTTATGAAAGGCTGAGGAGAAATAAGAGTGCTCTATTGGGTAAATTTACCCCTCAGATTTTGTAGAAGCTATGGCAAGCATTTCTTGCATCACTGATGTATGGGTGCAAATAGAGCTGGAGGCCCCCTCTGGACTGCCCCAAAGAAGCTTGACTTACGTTTATATAACTGATACTTTGTAACCGGCAAAGGCCTCCAAAAGTGGGAGGTAAATTGACCCCTCAGATTTTGTAGAAGCTATGGCAAGCATTTCTTGCATTATCTGATGTGTGGGTGCAAATAGAACTTGAAGCCTCCCCTGGACTGCCCCAAAGAACCGGCAAAGGCATCCAAAAGCGGGGGGTAAATTTAGACGGCGGGTGTGCTTGGGAGAGCACACACTAGCTCAAAACCCTTAGAAAACACTGTAAATACCGTGCAAAATTTCAAAAATTGCTCTGAGAACTAGGCGAAACGCAATTTTTTTGATCTGTCTGTGCCCAGTCTCCATGTCCAATGTCAATGACAACAAATAACAGCTCTTCGTCTGCCCACTATCAATGTGCAACACCAATAATAAATATTATCAGGTAAATCTCTCTCTGCCCACAATAAATGTAGTGAGCGAATGAAGATATAATACTATACATCTCTAGACTCAATAGCTTTCCTCTGGATCTCTGGGAAAGTAGATTTCCTAGATTTGTGTATTTTCATTGAAGGAAAGCAATTGAAAGAAACACTTACATACATACTTATAGCTTTTTTTAAATACCATGACTATTTCCAGAGATCCAGAGGAAAGCTTATGAAATGAAAGCTTTATATTTTTTTCACAGAAGTGATCAGATTTAGAAGGAACCTTTTGAATTAGAAGTTTATACATAAAGCAATTTTAATATAGCAATGAACATTCCAAGGGATTATTTTAAACAAATACTATCTACTCAAAAACATAGTTTGTGTCTTATTCCCAGCACTCCTAGGGCAAAAAACACTGTAAAATATAGTGTTTTGTAAAATGTGTGTTCTTAAACTAACTAAACTGGAATTAAAATAGAATTAGGCAAACTTAAATTAGAAGATTTCAATCAAGATCCTTTTAACATTGATTGTGGAATTTGCTATTTATTAGATATTAGATTGCAATAAAAATCATTTCCAAGTTCTCTTTAAAATTCATTGTGGAAACTAGTTCTTACAATTAGATTTTAGTCAAAATCCTTTTCAATTTAGGGGTGGCTTTGATTTAATATCAGATTGTCTTTAAAATCGCTTTAAGATCATTTGTGGAAATTGTGATGCTTAATTAATTTGAATTGATTTTGTATCTGTTTGCTCCCCACTACAAGGTTACATCAAATAAAAGGACTTTAACTAACATCTAATTATAAGAATTGATTTCCACCATTAACTATTAATTGAAAATTAATTTTCACAAACAATTCTAAAAGGGTCTTGATTGATATCCAATATACAAGCAATTCAATCAACTTATGTTGAAAAGAACTTAAATTAAAATCTAAACAACAAGCAATTTCCACAATGGTTGTGAAAAGGACATTAATTGACATTTAAGTAATGCCTAATTTCTACAATGAAATATAATAGGATTTTAATTGAAATCTAATTCAAAATCAATTGCCACAATGATCTTGAAAAGGCATTTAATCGAAATTGAATTACACATGCATTTTTCTACAATTAATCTTGAAGAAATATTAATTGAAATTTAATATAAACACCAATTTCCCCAATGATTTTGACAATGATATAAATGAAACGTAGTTTATAAAAAATCTACAATTAATCTTAAATACATTTTTAATAGAAAGCTAATGATACATCAATTTCCACCAATAATTCTGAAAGCGTTTTAATTGAAGTCTAATACCAAAATCAATTGAAATCCAAGTTAACATCAAATTCCACCGTTAAATTTAAATGAAGCAAAAACACTGTTTTACAGCGATTTCTTGCAAATTCATCTCCAAAATTGAGGTTTTGAGCTATTTTTTGAGCAATTTTGTGAGATTGGTTTATTGGTTTTTTGGTATTCCCTCTAAATTGGGATAGGCTTGGATCTCACAAAATTGATCAAAAAATAGCTCAAAACTTCAATTTTGGAGAGGATTTTGCAAGAAATCACTGTAAAACACAGTGTTTTTGCATCATTTTTTGCATGAAAAACATCTCCCAGGAGCACCCGTTCTGTAAATTTACCCCCCAGATTTTCTAAAAAGCAATGGCAAGCATTTCTTGCGTTTTTGATGTGTGGGTGCAGCCCCCTCCGGGTCTTGAAGTAGTAGAGGGCTGCAGTGAAGCGCCACGCAGTAAGGTGTTCCTGTCTGCCCGGCCGGGTGTTTTTCTGAACCTGTAGCTGTTAAAAAAGACAGTAAAGGACACATCATGCATTCAGTGGAATGGTGGTATGGATCACAACAATAAGCGAAGCGGCGCAGCTGGGAGTTGAACCGCGGGGGGGGGGGTTAGCTTGATATATCAATCTTTAAGGCACGCAGCCCCTCCCACCACAACATTGCTAAAGCAAAGAAGAACTCAGCTAGCATGCTAGCTTTCGTGATCAAGATCTTTGATAGGCAGGCATTGGATGAGAAAAATATGTCGTTCATGGTTTTATTGGCAATGTTTGGCGAGCATTTTGCCAATTTGGCTGGAGATTAAGACAAAGATAGGCAGGTCAAGTAGGTTCAAATTAGGTTGTGCGTATTTTGGTTCGGTAATTTTAATCAGGTTCCCCCGGAATGGTGATCTTAATTGTATTAATTATAGGATTTAAATTCATGATCTTTGGTATAATAAAATCGAAATTGTTATATATTATATATATTTAATTTGTAAGAAATATCTAGTTAGTATCTATATTTATTATATGTTTATATTGATAGGTTCGCGGTGGACAGGGTCCTAGATTCTAATGGAAGAGATTTTGTCTGGAATATAATGCCGAGTACATATTAGAAAACGGACCCCTATTAGAAAAAAATCATGTCGGAAACCCCTAAATACGGTTTATATTTGTTTTTAAATTACCGCCCTTTCAAGCCGCTATTAAACTACCAACATTGCCGACTTTGGAAGAATTTCTTTTATTAGGTTCAAAAAACAGCCGTAACTGCCCACCTCTGTCTGCCCTGTCTACCACCACGACACGCCGCGCTTACACCAGCAGGCTTTCCTTCCCCCAGTGGCACGGACTCACGCAAACGCACTTGCCACCGAGGTCATGCAACACCGCATGGCACAGCGACATCACCCTTCGAAAGCTTTAGCTGTTAGTCTACTGAAGAATCACTATTCTAATGAAGGTTTTTGGTAGGGGAAAAGGAAGACCCTTCGATCTGGAGCTTCTTTGCATTTTTGATACGAATTTAATAAAGATTTTATATAAAATTTTACTGATTTATTTTTGGTTTTGAAGCTCTTCCCAGGTGACCCTATTTTGGACCCCCCGATTTCAGGGACCCCTATTAGAAAAAATGCGACCGAGGTTTCCTTTTTTTTTGGGGGGGGGGGGGCCGTGTTTTTTTAATAGGTGGACCGGATTAATAGTTCCTGACGTCATTGAAGGCAACTTTCGGACTTTCAGCTAGCAAGATCAGGACTTAACAACACAATCCTTGGAAAGGTTCTTTGCCTTTCATAGATCCAAATTGATCTTGGTCGAATATGCCGTAGAGTTCGATGCACGGTTGGATGAAGCAACAGATCGAACAAATCTTCAATTAAACGATATTCAACAATTCTGTTTATTATTCATGAATAGCGGTTTATCGACCAAACAGATTGATGATATCAAATTTCAGATTCACGGCGCCTATCGCAGGAATACCCATGTTCGATCTCTTGCTTTGAGGTTGGCTCCCGACAAGGCTGAAGATTATCGCATGGCCTTCTACTAGGACGAATGATACGGAGAAGAGCATGGAGCAATTGATATGATCATTATAATCAAATCTTCGATGAGGATCCCGATTTCTATGCGGATGAAATGATCCCCCCTGAAGTCACGATCAATGACCCCAGCCCCTGTCTCGATCCCTCTGATCGCCAACGATGATCTTGGGGCAATGCGTCCATAACTGCCTCGAGGGAACTCCAGTGCGATCCCGGTCTTCCCAAGGACACTGTCACCAGGCGGCACCATGGTCTCAATGATAGAGTACAGATCTAGGCTAGCTGCCTGTTCTAATGAATGGTGGCAAGAAAATCAAGATCATACCCACCAACAATCAAATGAAATAGGAGTCCATGCTCCAACATCATCCACGGCGGCGTCTTCGACCAATGAGACCAATAGTGAGATTGCCGAGGATATTACAAGGGCAAGGGCAAAGGTGGCAATGACAATTGCTACAATTGCGGCTCATGTTGGCATCATATTGCAGATGTTCCAATGAAAGATGCTCCTGGGGATCAATCGAACGACCTCTGACGTAATCACCGATAGAGGCCGTGCACGAGGAAGAGCGATCGCAGGTCCAAAACCCTCAACTCCTCCCTCGTCCGACTCGGAAACTCTCTAGGTCCCAGGTTCGCGGAATATATAACGACCTCGATTGTCCACCTATATGGATGATAGGCACCTCTTCAAATGGAATCCCAATCTCTTCTGAAATATTCCGTGCATACGCCGTTCGACGGCGTTTCGCAGCAGCGCCGGATTTGATCCCGCGATGTCACGGTGGATCGGCGTCCGTGCATCGAGATCGAGAAGCAAAACAATATATATTTCCTAATAGTCCCAAAAAGCAATCAATTAAAATCGATACGGCTAATAACCACTTGAAATGAAAACCAATCCAATAAACAATCAACACAAGAGTTAAATGCGCCGTGACCGCGACAGGGTTGTGGGCGTTCTTTTTCACTTAAATCAAATGAATATTATATATCATCAATCATATCTATATAGGAAGATTGCTATATATGGTAAAATTCAATCATTATAAATTATATATCAATTTAATTATCATTCCTCTCCTCCTCCTCGTCTTCCTTAATTGCCAATTCCGAATATAAATATTTCCCGCTAGACCTCAATCGCAAATAAACATATTTACTAGAAAGAATTCATAAAAATAACACAAAATATACCAAAAAGAATATCAATAAAAATATATTAATATAATTTTAAAATATTAATAATTAACATATCTTGCATATTCTATTTAATATTTTTATAATAATATTTTAATAATAATTAAATAAAATAATTGTATGATTTAAATATATTTTATAATATTATATTTAATATATATTTTAATATTTCATAAATTATTTTATATCAATTATTTAATATTATTTATATTATATATATAAATATAATCAATATAATAAAATATATCTATTAAGAAATATATATTATATAAAATATTTATTTAATACATATTTAAATCTATTTCATTTTAAAAAAAAAATAATTTAATACGATAAAATTATTTATAGATTAATTATATATATAGATTAAATTCTAATATATTAAAAACATATATTTATCTATATAAAAAGCAAATAAATATTAATCAAAATCTTTTATATATATAACAAAAAACAATATAATTTTGAATTATAAATTATAATATAAATTCTTAAATCAAAATTATTACCATTTTACATAAAATGCGAAACCCAAATCATTAAAAATCCGGTATATATTTATAAATTCAATAGTTTTCGATATTTTAATAATCAATTTTAATATTTCCAATTCATATTCATTAAATCTATAAATTTAGTTAAATATTTGCAATATATTTATATAATTTCTTTAATTTAAAAAAAAAAAATGTTATCAAATATTAAATATAATATATATCCATCAAATTATAATTGTATTCAATTTAAAAATATTTCGATATTAAGATTATTTATATATTTAAACATATAAATTGTTTAAAATCTATGTAAATAATATATATATAATTAAATTCGGATCTATATTATATCCATCAAAGCCGTATTATAATTCATAAATTCATTTATATATATATATATCATCATTATCTTAGATATTGCAATTTATATTTAATATATAATCATATTATTTCAATTTCAAAAATATAGATTATATCAGATATTTATGTATTATATATGAATCTTAGTGTATTTCTTTAAATCTTAAATAATGAATATATCGAATGAATGTCGATATATAGGTCAACCCCCCCCGCCATGATTATACAAGTTTCCAATATCATAAGATCCCCCCTATGATTATCTTAATGTCTGTATTCTAGATTGCGTCGGATGTTCATATTTGGTTACGTACCACATCCAATGTAAAATTAAATGGATGTTGATATGATGATATATACAAATAATTCCATTTTGTACGATATCTTGGATTGAATCGAATCGAACTTGAGATGTCAAGCATCAATACGTTCGCTAAAAGCATAACGCCAGTGACACCAATCTGTACAAGTCCAGCCTGGCGATCTTACAGTGCTATAATTGGAATCAAAAAGCTTCTAAGAAACATCAGAATCTTCATCACTGCCGACGTCTTCATCCTGGCTGCATACATGATTTTACTCAAACATATTCAAACAGTTACATACATGTCCTCCATCACAAGTCTCAAACATAGGATTTGTTCTTTTTGATTGTCGCAAGATGGCAATTAGGATTGGAGTATACGCACAAGCAATATTCTCACGATGTTGGGAGGGCGTCCAAGCTGCAACATCTCTTCCACGGAGTTTCGAAAGATCTTGGAATATGTCTGCCCCGACGTTTCAGCCAATCTGTGGGGATCTGATGGGCTTGATTGGGTCTTTGTAAAACCCCAGTCCTCATCCTCCTCCGGCTCTTCAGGCTCCTCTGCTCGGAGCTTCTTGGCTGGATGGGACTCTCCACGTGCTTCAGCTTCAGCCTTCTCTCGTTCATACCTGCCCCCCGTCGTTTCATATCGTTTCACCGTCAAAACATCCACTTAACCTACAGCTTAGGCTGCCGCTTTCACCACTTGACAAGCTGCTGTTCACTAAGTTGGACTGTAGTGCCTCTAGAGTCCAAGCGACGCTGGACACAGGGGCATGTTGACCCACTTCAGACAACTCTTAAGCCGAAGGTGCTTTTCAGTGGGGCTCTCAAAGTTGTTGAACTCCACTAAGTAACGCATGCGGACTTGAGCTGGATCATAAACAATGAACCTGATTCATGCTGTGCGTCCTCAAACTAATCATAAACACAGTGTGAGGGAACTCTGATATTCGAGATCAACGTGGCTTCAAGATGTTTCTGTCAAGTCGGGTGGTTACGAACACGCAGAAACGTTAGCGCACAAATATAGAAAATTGATGCTGATTTGAACTAGGCGCTCACTGTGGCCAAGTCCACCTCCGGAGTGGGACTTCATAGGGCCTGGCACTTGTGCGCCGCCTGGTTCCTCATCGCAGAGCTCAAGAACGACATGAGCCAATCCAATGAGTTGCTCCTGTTACAAAACCTCAACTAATACCAAAACAATACCAAGAACAAAACCATCTCAAACGCCTGCTGGTGTCGCTACCACCACAAGCACATACCAGCACGATAAACAACCATGTCTCTCAGAGCCCTGAGACAAAGTATAGCCAAGCCGCGTACAAAGCGTTCTCCCAATCCGGGTGGTTGCTGCCCACACCCCATGTGGAGTTGGTTCCTGCTCGTGGCTCCTCCATGTACTCACCTCCATGTCTTGGATACATGTTTCCCAATGATACATCGCAAAGGAGCATGTAAGAGGCCTGGGAGCCTCCATCCGCACAGTAGGCACGGGATTTGCTGAAGACATCCGCAAAGTAGATGCCCTTCCCAAACATGTAGCCTTGCACCGGTGCTTCGGGGGGAGCCACGCGCAAACCCTGCGAGAGAATACTGATGAAGTTGGAAGATCGAGAGCCATGCCACAACAGCCGTCGATTCCCCAAATCCTTAAAACGTTCAGCTTCTCCTTCTCGGGAAATGCGATAAATAGCTGTCACTGTGTCGTTCCCCGAGCGGGAGCCACAGAAGCCATTCTTGCGCTTCTGGCCTGGTTCTGGGATTTCTCCAGGCTTCACCACCCTTGGTGGTGACCCACTGGATGTGTCTCGCATGTAATCCATTAGGGCCTTGAACTCATCCGTCTCTTGGTTCACCTCAGCCATAAAAGCAAGATCAAACCGCACACCATCTTTGAGTCCATCAACACTAAATTAGACCATCACAGCACAGTTACTCCTTGCGCGCGCCTAAAAAATGATTCAGAGCACTTGAAGTTCTGCAGATTCGGCCAAGAAAGACAAACATGTGCAAAATTGATTATATAGACACATCTATGTTGCTCCTTTACACCTAATTACTTTCAGAGATGTTTGGAATTCCTCAACAAAATGTGTTGATGCGTTTTGGTTTTTGAAACGTTTGTGCGTTTCGGCTCTGACTGGGCAGTAGAATCACAATCAGCCCAGCGGCCTGCTCAAAGGCCACTCCCATACTCCGCTTGCAGTAGTCCAACGGATTCCTTCAGCCATGGGACCAATTAAAGCGCCGGACTTTTTTCCGAGAAACGTTCCGTTCGGAGTGCATGCGACCAAACTTGGCGGTCTATCCCTGTAGAGCGTGACCAATATCTCATCCTTCTCACCCAAGAAATAAACAAAACAGGAGATTGAGCAGCCGAGAATCTCTTTCTTTCGTTGGTGCTGCGCTGCCAAGAGAGTTCGCAAACCTGCACTGGCTTCGGTGAGATTCAACAGCGCTTCGAACTCCTTGGCAAGAGCTTGGTCGTTCTCAATGGGTCGAGCTACCTCTGTAGTGCCAGCACCGCGCGGCACCAACTCCTTAGCGAGGTGTTTGGGCATCAGTCGACTCATCCACCACCCGTTGCCTTGGGCGTTGAAGGATGCTAGCAGCAAAATATTGCACTTATAAATTTAACATGTTCGAGGTCGCAAGGACTGTGGACTATGGAGGGCTACAAGCTCGTCCGAAATGGACAAGTTTATTGGCTCTTGACGCCTTCCAGGTCAAGATGAGCATTCATGAGCTATCATCCCTACAGTTTAAGTCAGCAAGAGTATGGGAATACCTCTCAGAACGTCAAAACTGGAGATAATGCCTGGAATCATAGTAGCGGGAGGAGAGCTCCAAGATCTTTTCACGGATTTCATTGCGCTGTTTGGAGGCCTCCAAAACTTCTTCTGCCTTGGCAAAACCTGTCTTCATGCTCCTGGCGGAAAACATCTGAATATCTTTTCCGCACGAAGAACACTGATGAAGAGGATCGTAAAGGAAAGTCGGAAAGTCAATCGCCTTATTGAACAAACCTGCGCCTGTAACAGGAAACAAAACAGTGCCTGGGTCCATCAGGTCCGCCAAAGTGCTTCATTCCATTCTGCTTCGGACCTCATTCTCCTTAGCATTCCCGTCAGGACTTAAGCCATTTACTTTTTCGAATGCCTGGACGCCGGACCAACCCCCTGGCCCCTCCATCACCCGTGGTACCACGGGGTCCTTGCAGACTTCAAGGCCTTCAGTTCTTCAATGGCCGCTTTGATGTTACCCAAAAGAGTCCTTAGTCATTGCGGCTGCCAAAACGTCCCACTCTCCTCGCTTGGACCATGAACAAAATGTCTTCACCATAACTAAACATATCATAAAAGAGAGTGGTTCTGTTCACGGTTGTGTTCATGTAACTCATTATAACACCGCATGTCTTTTTTATGCAAAGAATCTTGGCTTCATCCAGCGTTGCCCTCGATAAACTTCCGAAGGGCATGGACTGAGTCTTGATGCCCATGGATTTCACGGCTTGCAAGATGTTGCTGGGATCACAAATGCTGTCCTGGTAGCTGCATTTTGACCCCCTTTGCAACCCTACGACCCGGTACTTAGCACAGCCACCACCCTCTTAATTTTACATATTTTTCCTTAGACTAGACTCAGACTATATAAATTACTCTGTTCATTAACCAAACGTTAAACAGCTGTGCAAAGGAGCATATTGCTGCTTCCCAGTGTCGATAGTCCGCCATAGCATGCGGGGCAGTGCACTCTTGGCGTTCACTCCTAAACTGAAAGGCTGTACGATCTCTTCGCTGCGCGCTGTGGCACGGCGGCGCTTGAGAAGTTGATACTTGTTGGGCTTCTTCTCGAAGACTGCGCCAGTGGCATCCCACACCTCAGGCGTTAGGCCCGTTAGGCTGCACCGCCAGGCTACGTATGAACATGTCAATATAATCCAAAGGACCGGGAGGATTGAAGAGTCTCATCACTTGTCCTTTCTTTTCCTCTTTGGTGCGGAAGTTCGTCGAAATGAACAGACCTATATAGGTGACTTAAGGAGTTTCATCCATATGCGATCTGGCCAAATGCAGTAAAGCGACATTTCCAGTCTTTTCCTCAGCAAGGACTCACACACACACAAAAATGAATTTATATATATGATAAGAGCGAGTGTGACTTTGAGAATTCGGGAAATTGTGGGAACACATGGAAAGAACACACATCAAAACTGCAACCAATCTTACAGCGTTTGGCCAACGAGCTTCCTTGAACACTTTGCAGAAATCTTTCATCCCCTCTTCCTTGTTGGCAGCTGGAGTCCTTTGGAACATGCCAGTCTCGCCAATCTCCCCCCCAACGGGTGAAGAGGACGTAGAGGTCTTTGTTCGTTTCATAGACCAGCCTGACACACACCCGGTCTGCACTCATGGTACGGCGCCTAAGCTTGAACCTCTGCAACAGGAAAGTGAGGGCAAATGGCCTCCAACCTAGCAGCTTCTTGCTACTAGTAGTAATGGCCTCCAACCCAATACCAATGCGCTCCAATCTAATAGTGATGGCCTCCAACCTAATAGCGATGGCCTCCAACCTAATAGCGATGGCCTCCAACCAAATAGTGATGCTTAATATATCTATCTCATATATTCTCATACTGTAATTATCGACTCCCTCTACAGGAACTGTTAATTAACCCATTCCCTGTCGGGCAGCTGGAGATGGTAGAAGCGCATCTCATCACGCTTTAGATCGACCTTGAAGAGCAAGGCATCATACTCTTCACCTTCCTTCTCTGCAAAGACCTTGTTCTCTCCGGTCATTCCATAGGCCTGACGTCATTCCATGACCCGAAGTCAGCAATTGGGTGATGGTGATGGGCTGTCATTCACGTTCGCTCAATCGCTCGCCTTGTGCACGGGAATGGGGGTGCGCTTCACGGTCGCCTCCACCCGTTCCAACTCCTTACGCGCATCGGCATCCAGGTCCGGCTTGGCATTGCTGGGAGCCTTGAGCTCAGAAATGTCCATATGCACCTGGAAATCAATAGCCAAAGAAAGGGCCAAAGGGCTGTGTAAGGACTGTGAACCAGAAGAATCAAAGGCCGAAAGATCAGAAAAGCTGGCCAAAACCAGCCACATTAAACAACTTCAGCTTCTCTTGATGCTGGGTGAGCTCAAAATCTTCTTAGAGACACGGTTCTTCAGGTTTGTGGACACCAACAGCTTGCGCAGGGAGCCTGAAAATATCTGAAAATCCTGCCTGGAGCCCAGCTGCGGCCAAAACAGCAGCCATGCGACCAGAGCCTTGCTTCACAGCCAAGGACACTGGTGTGAGGCCTTGGTTGTCAGGCGTCTGAGCAGCTTCCAGGCCCTGTCAGGAGCAAGGCCGTTTCAACATTAAATCTCTTTCGAACCAACAAGACAGGTATAGTCACTACTGTATAGCCCAAGTTCAAATTAGTATTAAGGAGTTCCCTCCTGAAAAAAGACACACACACATAAATTGTGAAATGCATCTTTTTGCCATGTGTACACGGAACGCGACCACGACAAAAGAGGTTCCCTATCCACCCGCCTGCCTTTGGAGTGCGCAGCATAGCAGCCAAATGCCGAGTACATTCATGGGAGAGATGTGGCTTCCTTAAAGCTTCCGGGCGTGGAACTCCAAGACCGGAATCAGGGCGGTCAAACTGTCTGGCTTTCTGATCCCTACCTTAATATCTGTGGGTTTTCATTCTATTTATTAGGGGGTACTCACAATACAACTGACACAGGAGCTTTGCAAAGTCATGGTTTCGGCTGGATGCAGTGGTGAAGTGAATTCCGCATCTTCTTGTCCTGCGCAAGTTGGCCCAGGCGTGGTCGTCAAACTAACTTGAGTTCAATCTTCGGAAGAGACTAGCATGTCTTCTCAATGCTGGATAATGAAAACCGCGTTTAAAGCCGCTAGGCCACTGCACCACCAAAGAAAAGGGGATGATGGGTCTCTCTTCTGTTTGGAGACCCTGGAATTAATAAGGCTCAAATATCTAAGATGCTGACACTATGCATGACTCAGAATCCTTCTGGCCGGGGTCTGCTTTTGCGTTCAAGAGTTCATCCACCACATCTTTGCGATTGGCCAGCACTGCAATGCTCAATGCCTTGGACGGTTCTTTGTTCCACGGCAAATTGCTGCTACTCTTGAAGTTTGGCATTATGGGTGCAAACGCGGACCTAGATAAGCAAATTCCCCACACTCTATCATGTCTAGATGCTGATCGTCCAAGTTTGTCTTCTCCCGCTTTGGAGGTATCTGCCTTGGCCTGCAGTAAATGTCTGACTAAAGCAGCATTGCCCGAGATCGTCGCTGCCAAGAGTGGCTTGTGCCCCTCCATATCGCAACCCTTTTCTGGGCTGGCACCTGCTTTGAGCAGAGCTTCAGCTGTATTCCATGATGACATCTGGATGGCTGCGCTCAAGGCTGAACGACCTGAGGAATCCACCGCTGTCGGGTTGGCCGCTGCAGAGAGCAAAGCAGAAATTGCAAAGGTCATGCGCTTGTCCACCGCGACCAGGATTGGTGCCCGGCCCTTGGCGTCCAGACCCTGGTTTGGAGATGCCCCCAATTTCAGGACCTTCACAAGCACATCCTGTGGCCTTGATAGCGCATCCAAGACCAAAGACCCACCGTCTCTTGAAGGAGCTTCCGTGAAGCTTGCGCTCGCACGGGCTAGTTCCATGATCAATTCCACTGGCCACTGGTCAGAAAGAACTGCGTAGTGCAATGGTGTGTTGCCCTTGCCATCCCGCTCGTTCGCATCTGCTGAATGAAACAACAAAAGCCTTACAACTTCCAATTTTGAGCCCGTCGAACTTTGCAAAGCACCACAAAGGCTTGTTGCATTGCGACCGTCCTTCCTTAGCTTTTGTTGTTGCGTTGCTACCTCATCCTCCCCTGCCCAAACTCTAGCGCGAACTAGCGCTCATAATTGACGGGTTATACAAGTGGAGGGGGTATATGTGGGGATGGCGGAGGTCGCGCAGACTCAAAAGGTTAAATAAATGTACTGCAACCAAGCCCCTTGAGGCCAACAACTATCCTAGCAAAAGACCGCAAACAGTGCTAAGTAGAAAAACCAGGGCGAATAAGCCAACACCCACACTCTGGAGCACACATATGGGAGCAAACACATGACAGCACCCGTATGAGAACACACATGACAGAACAAGTATGAAAGCAAACACATGAGAGGGCAGAAATGAGAGAGCACACACACATCACAAACGACAGCAATAGCAAAAATTTGAAAGCACACATGTCAACACAAACATGAGAGCACATACGAAGAGAACACATGTGAGAACACACGCACGCATAGATGAGAGCACGCAATATGAGAGCAAAGCATCATCAAAACATCTACGAAGGCACTCATATTCTGTGAGAACACTCATATGCAAGAGCACGCGCATGTGAGCTAACACATGAGAGCATAGACATGAGAGCATGCACATGAGACCACATATATGGCAGCACAGTGCATGAGAGCTTGCATGTGAGAGCAGCTTCACAGATTCTGCGCCTGCCACGAAATCTGCAGTTGGAGGTCCCCAAAGTGCTGCACCACGCCTGCCACGAAAAGGCATTTTCAGATTGCGCCTGCAATGAAGAGTGACAACCAAGTCCGAAAACGCACACGGCACCACAACGAGAGTGCTTCCTCTTGCCGCGGTAAGCTTCAGCGAGCCTTCGCAGTCGAAATGCCCTTCGAAGACCTCGGGAGGCATTGATGTACCATAAATAGGCCGCCGGCCTTGAGCACCCTCGATCAAGCGCAGCCATAAAGAAACCCTTATTTCGGTGTCCACAGGGTTGGGACGAAAGCCAGCCTCTGTAAGAAGACATCAACATGGCAATGGGGGGCGAAGTCGAGATCGCACTGGAACAGCAAGAATGGTCAAATAAAAGGCAGAGGTTGAAAGTCGTAGTAAAGGTGGGGGAGCGAGGAAAGGTTACTGCCGAGATCACGCGAGGACCGGGGGAGAGATTGTCGTTGCTATGGGGGGATGTCGACATAGCAATGATGCTACTGCTGGTGGAAATAGAAATCTACATGGGTTAGGGGGGTGCCCTTTTTTCGCTCGGCGCAAGGGCGTTTTGAAGTTGAAAAGGGCACCCCTAGGGAACTCAGGGGCGCTTGCTCGCTGTTTGCTATACACGTCCTGCAGATGGACTCAAGGACTTGGCGTGCAAGATGAAGTGATTGATTGGCTAACATAGTGCAAAAAGTCTCTTTATGGGGGACATCGCAGCCACATCGATAGGGGCTATAGAAATAGAAACTAAAATAGACAGCCGTTTTTCGTCCTTGTTCAGGGGTTTTGGAGGTGAAAAAAGGGCACCCCAGAGGAAGTGAGGGGCGCTTGCCTGATGAGTGTTGCCAAATGGTGCCCTTTTGAGTCCGGCAACTAGGCCTCGTCAAAGTTAAAAAAGGGCACCTTCAGGCAATTCAAAGCTTGCCCGCTGCAATCTGCTCCCCTGCCCTCAACAGACCGCATCACTACATGAACTCGCAAAAATTCATCCGGCGCTGTGAACTCCCACCCCATATGGGATGCCCTCTTGAGTCCGGCAACTAGGCCTCTTCACCGCTAAAAAGGGGCACCCCCAAGCAATTCAAATTGCCGCTGCAATCTGTTCTCTCTCCTGCCCTCATGAACTCGCGCCCTATATGGGGTGCCCTATTGCGTATGGTTGCCAGGCGTCGCACCCCCAAGCCAGTCCGACATTTCTTGCAAGCCCTCTTTTCCTACCACGCTTGCCCTCAGTCCTCACAGATCACGCAGTGTCTTAACAAACTAAGAGACACGCACCTCCCTTTCACCCCTGGTCGAACAATATTTCAATGGGCACCACAGCGCGCATCTCCCTTTTCTGGAGGAGTTCCAACCACTTTTAGCGTCCCGTTGTCCCCTCTTTCCTATGTAGAAGACGGTTTACATTGCCCGAGCCCCTCGTGGTGCTAATGATGCACTACTCGCTGTCAATTACATCACTTGCATCACAACATCCCAAAAACCAATCATTTTCACTACCTCCCGGCCACCTCTTTTTTTCGCTCTCCCCCACCAGGCTCTCAATTGACCCACCGCCCCCACACTCACTTCGTTTGCTCCCCAAAACTAGCCTATCAGCTGGCTTTCGTGTAATATACAGTATACAATATGAATAACACTATATAATAGACTTGAACTACATTGAACTACCATATAGTTGCGCGCTCCGTCCAGTGGGGCCCCATGTCACGCCCATGTGCGTCTTGCTGGTGAGTATCATGTTGGGATCACTTCCGGCCTCCAACAGCCTTGCCACGGACTTTTGGAAGGCTTTGGCTGCAACGTTCACCAAGGGCACATTCACCTGGCGAGGAGGCGATTCTTGGGTTTTCTCAATGCGTCGCTTTCTTTTGGATTTGCGCTCCCGTACCAAGGGTCGAGGGCCTGCGGCTCCTTCTGGCGTTTGCAAGTATGACTCAAAGCAGAAGAGACAATTTTTTACAGCAATATGTAAGATGTCTGCATACAGCGTAACACTATGGACCAATCCTTGATCCAAAGAGTTCATCCGGAAGAGGCTGGTGAGCGAGACTGTTGAAAAAATGTTGCTAATGAGACCACATTCATTGTCTTTTTGATTCTTTTAGGGGTGAAGGACGCTACTACGGGCTCCTGGCCGTACTACTAGGAGCAAGGACGCTACTGAGAGCAAAGGGCACCAAACCGCAGCTTTCCCGCCTCGGGATTCGGTCCGAGCTCTTTCACATCGCGGCCAGATATCTTGCAGCTCTCAATTTCCAGCTGGGCCCCATGCGCATACTTGAAGGGCATCCTGTCGTGAAATTTTTGAACAGCTATGGCATTTCCCAAGATGCCTTGAAGACTTGAAGCCTCAAAAAAAAAAACATAACATTGCTGGAGCAAAACTTCAAGGATCTGTGCTGCTGCAGTATGGAGCGGCAAGACCATGTCGAGGAAGGCCAAATGGTCTGCCTCCGAATGACTCTGAAGCCACTGTCGAGTGCAAATCGTGTGCACCGGCACTTGACCCTCAACATCCTTCCGAGCACACTGCCTGGGCGTTTGGGCCGTAGATGATTCAAATCCACATCAACGCAATCTTGATTCGACATCGTTTCAACTAGAAATGAATTCATATGAATTCCAATTCTCATCAACTCTATCCAAATCCAAATGCAACTTCACATATGAGATGGCATGGGTTGACATATGTCAAATTATTCATCGACACTGGTTTCAGCCCGCTTGCGCTTGATCCTGTCGAATCAGCCAGCGGCACAAGTCCCTGTGAGCATTCATGGCAGCATCGTGCAAAGGAAGTCGCTGATCCACATCAAGTGCTAGGGGCGCAAGGCCGCGCCTTGGTTTGTCTGCAATGCGGATGAGGACAAACCGAGGGAACTTCAAGAATCTCTGTTGACAAAACGCCAAGAACGGCGAAGTGATGGTCTTTCACATGTCTTCACCCGTGGGATGCTTGATGAATTGAAATGAGTTAAAATGAGTTAAATCGGATTGTGTATGTGCTATATGTGTGAGGGAGACCTACTGCGTAGCTGCACAACGCAGGTTTCAGACTCAGTCGATTGACAATGGATTTCTTCACTCGTCCATATTCACAGACCTTGGATTGGTCTACGCAATCTTATTCGGCGTATCATTGACGCCGAGTTCGGACACGTAGCCCAGCCCTTGCGAGACCAGTGTCGCAATGGTGGGGCGAGTTGCTTGAGAAGCTCATCCGCAATAGCCGTGGCCTCCGGCGCCAAGGTCTTTCCAAAACCCGCCAAGGCGTGGAGTAAGTTCCTCTGCATGGGATCCAAACCTCAGTGAATGAAGGCTTCGTGAAGACAGCCAGGATGGAGGCTCACCCTTGGGGGAATCCTGTGAAATTCGACATGCATTGGCCACATTGGTCAGCATGTCACTGGCAAACGCGTCTGAACGTGGTTCAAGATGTTCAATCAATATCGTATTGGAGCTGCATCGCCGTCCTGATAGCCTCCCATCTCTAGTCTACGCCTGCAGGATACAACATCTGAATCCATCTGCATTGTTCCCATGTGCATCTATGTAATCCTATGTATATATTCATATAGTAGTTTTGTCACATGCACCAAACCTACAGGGCATACCGGACATCCCGCGCTGCGCCGAGAGACGCTGCAGAACGTGATTTTCCGAGGGATTGATCTTTGAAAGAAGAGTCAAGACCAAGCGAAACTCGCCGAGCTCCAATGCATCTTGAATGGCGCCATGAAATGGATAGCCATGGTCCAGCAGAAGGTAGGAAAGCCCAAGCCACTGCCCTGACATCCATAAAGGCTACAAAACAGCAGAAAACAAAAGGAAGAACAGCTCAACAATCGGCTTAGATTGGATTGTTCGAATCCCGGATTGAAATACCTTCCAGAGCAAAACAATCAACAGGAAGAAGAAGACAGCGCGGAACTGCTTTCCAACTTTCCAACACCAAGAAACGAGAGGTGGACTCTCGAAAGAGGGACAGTGGTGGACCAGGTTCAATCTTCTGTCGCTTCTGGGAGGTCTCATCAGAGGCTGAGACACGTCGCAAGTGACCTAATCAACTCAAAGACTGGTTGCACAAATGATTGCGCAAGCTTTAAAGATCACAGTAGAGTGAGTGGGTCAACAACTTCAACCTTGACGGTGATGCTATTCAGTGGGTTCAGGAGAAGCATATTATTGTATACTAACTACATCTAACTACTTGCGCTTGTACCGTATCAGCAAATTAGTGACTCGAGGCTACCAAATGTTTCGATTGCTCTTTTACAACAAAAGGCCCTCTGCACTGCTGCCAACAACTGAGACGCAGGGTTTCAGCTCTGTTCCTGTCGCTAAGATTCTTTGAGTGAAATGCCCAATTTGTTAGGAGCAAGGACGCTACTAGGGGCTCCTGTTCTGTTCCGAGGTCCGGACGCATGGGCCGTTCCACATCTCCCGCACCCTGGGATAGCAAGGTGATCCCATATTGGTCGTGGCCACTGGCCTCGGCACTCTGTCGCCGGAAGAAGCCGCATGGCACCGCATGGCGGCCATGTTTACTGTTCTTTTTTTCATCAGAACCGAAGAAAGAACATGAATGTCGCATCTCGTCTGCATCGCCAAAGAGGCCGCCTGTAGCAAAGGGGGCTTGTGCTTGAGACTTGACCAAAGACCGAGGTGACCCAAGTAGCGGCCAAGTGGCCAAGGCAATCCCCAAAGCATCGTTCCCCACATGGTCCCTGCTCTGCAAGGATGCTCCGCGCTTCGCCAAGTAGAGCGATGAGATGGTCGCCCCGCGGCGCGCTGCACAAAGCAGTGGAGTGGCACCAAACTCGTCTGCCACGTCCACCTGAACGCCTGGACTACAGTAAAAGCTACAGTAATATCTGCAGCACCTACTTGAGAAGCCTCAAGCTGTCTTCCCAATTGAGTGAAGATGAGATGAAACCAAATGAGATTAAACAAAAAATATCACGTCGTCTTCTTGGTGGGCAACATACTGAAAGGCCTCCAACAAGTCCAGCCTTCGATGGCGCACATACTCGTCACGGTCTCTACAGGGTCTGCTGCTGAGCTGTCCAGCTGCCTCTCCTTCTTCACGAAGGCATAGTGCCTGGTTTCTTTTTCCCTTCGCCTCGCCTCGCAGCCTTTCAAATCAACAAACACTTCTTTCGAGCGCTAAGAAGTCCGGGCCAACAAAGACTCAAAGCGATTCTCCGCAGGTCCAAGCTGCAGGGGCGTTCGGTGCTGGATGTCCAATGCATTGACATCAGCTCGGGCGTTCAGCAGCAACCGCTCTGCGTTGAAAGAAGGCTCGCTGGCGGAGGCGGAGTTCACCGCCCAGTGGAGCGGAGTGCGCTTGGATGGGTCCTCAGGGCGAAAATCCGTTCATCCAGTGATCCAGAAGAATGTCAAAGGACGGCCGTCCACAGTGGGAGGCTTCAAATTTTACACCAGCCTGGTCCAAAATGTAGCCAATTGTATTGTATGCATTTGTATATAATTACAATATATCACAATAATCTATTCTACTCTTGAAATCTTCCAGAGGGTTTGGATGGGTTTGGTACCTTTGGGTGTCCAGAATTGTTCTTCCACCCAAGGCTCCACGGAGCATGGTGAGGCACGTTGATCCAGGAGCTGCTGAAGGACTTGCAGGTGTCGACACCCTGCGGCCACGTGCAAGGCCATGTGCCCTCCGACGCAGCAGGCCTTGTCGATGTTAGCCTGCGGATTGTTGCTCCTAGTAGCGTCCTTGCTCCTAGTAACGATGCCAGGAGCCCCTAGTAGCTTCTTGTTCCTAGTAGTAAGGCCAGGAGCCCCTATAGTAGCGTCCTTGCTCCTGGTGGGTGGAGAAAGGTGGAGAACTCAGAAGCTTCTATGCTCTGTGCTACGATGACGGGGGGGAATCTGTTTGGCTTTCAAAGCCGATCCCTACAAAAAAGTCTTCTGCAGGGCATCGCTACTAGGAGCAAGAAGCTACTAGGAGCAAAGGGCATTTCTGCTAGGAACAAGGACGCTACTAGGGGCTCCTGCTACTAGAAGCTTCTTCTGCAGCTGACAAAGCTTCCTGCCTTGGCTTGGAGAAGGTCATCCATAATTGGACTGCCGTGAGGTTTATTGCTGGTTGCAGCGTGAACAGCATAGAAGAGCGGAGTGGCCTCACCAGTTCAGTCTGAAACGAAAAGCAGTTTTGTGGGGGTCTGCAAGGGGCCGGCGTTTGCAGCATGCGAGGGCCTTGTCTTCACCCAAAACTCTGAAGTTACTGGACCCGTCTGGCCTTGTTGGCAGTGCTGTCAGGTGTATCCAAAGGTGGCCTCTTCTCGAGAAGCAAGTGGACCATGAACTCATTCAGGTGCTCCACTGCGTGATGCATTGCCTGACGTCCATCTTTTGTGTCAGCCACCGCAGTATCAGCCGAAGCATTCCTGCGTCGTAGAGACTTTTTGAATACAGCCATAATATGGCTGCGCCCCACACCTATATAAATAGCTTTCCTTTAAACAACTATATAGCTGTATCACGTTGTATCACGAAGGGTTTCCCAACGCGGTCCTTATTAGTATTCACTTGAACCCGTCATAACTGTGTATCCTACTTGCTACTCCTTCCCAGGAACTTTGGACTAGACTCACACAAAAATCCAGAAAATGAACTTCCTCCTTTGGGTTGGTGGTGTCTGCGGTGATGGGACAATCGTCTATGTTTATTCGTGAAAAAGCATCGGAAAGCTTCTCATCGTATCAAGTTTCAGCAAGACCTTCACCATTGCAGTTGCGTTCCTCGCTGCCGCCTTTTGTAATGGTTGCGCGTAGGTGATCTTGATGGTCTCAACCGCTTGGTAATACATCAGCTTATCCTTTCATTTCAAGCACTTATCTAGACTCTAGATGTAAGGAAGAGACCAAGCTGCACAACATGAAAATGCTGGTTCTGTTTGGGAGAAAAAACATCTTGAGAAGTCCAGGTTTCTCGAGATACGAGGAGCTGCAGCTTCTTCTCAGGCTTCTGCAACAAAGGCGCAAAGTCACCACCACCAATAGCGAAGAGGCTTTTGTCCGCTTCGTTGGGCAGGGACTCCACCGTACCACAAAACATGCAAAGAATGCCGGCCTGAACACACTTTTCAGCGTATCTTGTATGTGCAAAGGGCAAGTGTATAATAACAGCTTTGTGATGAATGCACATATATATATATATATATATTATAAATTATACATGTGTTATCACGTGCTTGATAAAAATATATATATATGTGTGTGTGCATGTATTTAACACAAGGTGTGTATGCCAGATAGGTGTTGAACATCAATCAGATCACAAAACACAATTTCCTGCACATCTCGCTGCCTCGCACGCGTCAGAGTCAGCATCTACACCTGCCACCTGTTTTGCCCGCTTCGTGACATGTAACAGAGCAGCTTCGAGATCTTCCTGCAGTCAAAGCATGGAAACATTGCACTTTTCTAGGCAGTTCGTGGGCACCAGCTGTTCTCAATGCCTTGCCACCCTAGACCTCCCCGGATCGTTTTGAGACGCTCAAGGTCGATTCTGCTTGCGGTGCAAAAACAAAGCGAGCCAAAGAATAGAAAGTACATATATTTTTAGGATACAGGGAAGCAACTATAGATATCTTTCAGCCCTGTAGCATCTGCATGCAAGCGTCTTCTTTGATCTTGAGACTGCGCAGAAGCTCGAGAGCCAAGGATGCTTCAATTCCAACACGTGTACCATTCTTCCTGAATGGATCAGCAGGCTTGGCGCCATTTGGCTCGGCCGCTGGTTCCTAGATGCCCAGGTAATCTTCTGGGTCCCCACTGTACCAATTGAGTTGAGTTTTACCAAAAAATGCGACAACTCTATATACAACTGTCACAACAACTATCTCTTCTTTGATCATTTGCGGGTAATGCCACACCAGTGCAGAAAACGTGCTAAACAATTTCACCAAGCTTCAGGTGGCACTGGAAGCCACATCTTGTTGGTCACCACCTGACGCGTCTCAATGGGTACTCCCACATCTGCTCTGGCTTGAACCAGCTGTCCCACCATTGCATCAGAGCCATTCTCCACAGCTGTATGCAAGGCCAGGCGTGGGTGAGCCCTTTGTTGCCCGTACAAGGCAGCACCGAGGTGGCCATGTCCCTCCACAGGGTCGGGGAAGTTCACATCGCTCCGCGAAGAGAGCAATGCAATGACCACGCCCAGGCAACCTTTGGACGTGGAGATATGAAGCGCAGACCGACCAGAGACAGGGTCTGTGACATTGAGGTCTGCCTTGCTCCTACTCAGCAGTCGAAGTGATTGCGCATCCTCTGCTTTTGTGGCCAAGTGCACAGTGTGTGGGCGATCTTTCCCATGCACCATCGGCTTTGCCCCAGCCTCCAGCAAGGCATGGACCAAGCGACTAGTTCCCACAGCTTTGCAGACTGCCTCACGCATTGACTGGAAAGGAAGGCTCTTGGACTCTGGAGCTGTTTGTGATTTTGAGAAGCTCAAGGCGCATGCTCCTTGTCCGCAGAGAACCGGAATCAGGGTACTAGCGGCATCTGTGCGCGGAATGGTGGTCTCCTTACCCCACACATGATTCATGACCTTGGTCACCGAACGTGCCCAACTATTGGAGTTCAAAAGCAAAACATGTTTTTGGCGAAGCTTAACATACCTTAGGATTCCAAATTATGCGCTTCACTTTGCAGTGTGTCTTTATTAATTACTTTGTCCATGAGCAACTTGGTTCAGGACCAATCTTGCTGTACCTGCATCGCAATCCAAAGCCACACCAATAGAACAATCCTCTTTCCATGGTCTAGTATCTGAGATCCAAGTCACCTTGGATGCATGGATGCTCTTTTGCAATGTCTCCTACGAGTATTATTCAGCAAGTTGGATACTTCGAGTCACATAAACTCTGGCATGCGCAGAAGCAAAACACGAGCGTAACAAGAAAGTCCAACTGCAGGGGCTAGAAGTGAGATTGCCATAGCAAGCAGGTGGTAAAATGCGGTTAGAAGGAAAAGACAACGCTTCCCAGGGCTTTTCCTTTGCGTCGTCGAATTCTCGGTAAACGTTACTGGAAAATATCCACGTCATACGGTAGGGGGAGGTTCACTGATTCTTCCCTTTCGAGGAACAAAGTGAAGCGAACACACACGCGGAACATCCCTCTCTCTTGAAGATCAACTAAGCCATGTCCAAGTGCTGTTCACATCGAACCCTTCTCCACTTTAGTTCGCAGCCAATTTGGTTCCTGTGGTGACCTGGTGGTAAGTGGCCGTCCGGAACCAATTTAAGCAAGCCTCTTCAGGCGCGCGCATGGGGTCCTTGCAAAGAGCTACTCCGATTTTTCCATCCTGGATGTGCACATGCTGCAACTCAAAGTACCATCTACCTTGAGTAAGGTGACATGAAAAGCTGCTGTACCTGGGCACGGTGCAAGTGCAATACCACCGCCTCCCACAAGACCAGAAGCAGGAGCAAGGCCCAAAAGAGACAAAGTTATGCTTGCTCTGGGTTTTTACACACTCAGCGAAGGATACTGCTTAATGGCTCCAAGGTACATGCCAGCGGCATCAGGACTGTAGTAGCATGCATCTGCTGAATTTACCATCGCGGGAGCTTTAATCTCTTGAACGACCTCTGGAACCTGCTGCTGGCTTTCAGCAGGTGTGCCGAATGATGCGGGTGCGCCAAATCCACCAAAACCACCTCCAGCTCCAAAACCACCAGCTGCCTTCACACCTGCCTTCTTCACAGCCATAAGGCCAGCCGGTTGAGCTCCAAAGGCTAAGCCAAAGCCAGGGGCTCCAAAGCCAGGCCCTGGCTGCTTTGCCCCGAATGCACCTCCGAAGCCTCCACCTGCTGGAGCTCGAAAGGCGGGCGCAAAAGCAGGAGCGCCAAAGCCACCTGGAGCAGGAGCGCCAAAGGCGCCTGGAGCAGGAGCGCCAAAGCCGCCTGGAGCAGGAGCGCCAAAGGCGCCTGGAGCAGGAGCGCCCAAGCCACCTGGAGCGCCATGGGCGTAACGCGGAATCACAAGCGTCTGTTAGAGGGGAATTCAGTTGAAGAATTTGACGCATACAATCATGCAAGTTACAAGCACTGAAAGATCACCTGTCCACATCTTGTCCAAAACATGCGATGCATTCACCAAGCAAGAAGCCCTTGCCTCCCCCAAAACCAAATGCTCCGGCTGCAGGGGCGGGCGTGGCAGCTGGTTCAGGGGCCGGGGAGGCTGTCGCCGTTCCAGCCTCCTCAAAGGTCAAGACTGCCGTGGAGCCCTGGATCAGTGTTTGTAGTTGGTGAATAATCGCATACTGAATTTTGACCTAGAGAACCTAGGAAACATCAACATGAAGCCAAAAAACTGCATTGCCATGACCCGGACTTTCCAGACAGATGTGCTGGGTCAATCCGTCAATCCTCTGTCAACGCAGAGTAAACAATCTATCGACCAAAAAGGAAACACACAAAACGGCACACTTCAGCCTTTCATTTAGCCCTGCCTCGCCTGCAAATTCTTCCAGGCATCCATGATTTGCGCTTTCTGCATCCCTGCCATTGACTGATCTCCAACCTTTGCGAGGCGCATCCCGTGCTTGATACCAGCTGCCTCGGCATCTGGATGCTTGAGGCCATTCACATAGGCGCCCAGCTCGTCGAAACCCCACTTGACATGCTTTCCCATGCCCTCGACTACAAGGACTTTGCGTTCTGCAGAGGCGCCGGAGACCCCCAATGCCGGGGTGACTCCCTTCTTCTTCAGATCCTCTTCGATCTGTGCAAAGGCTTTGAACATCTCAGCTTCTGCACAAGCGATATGAGCATCCTTCTCTGCAAAGTCTCCGCCCAAAAATCCATTTGGGAGCGGTTCCAGCATCTTCGTCACGTTTGGACCTGAAGCAAAGGATGAGAAAGCACGCTTTGGTGGTTTATCCGATGGCTATGGGCCAAAACCCTGGACCCTGGTTCCCCAGGTAACAAAACACACTTCCGCGTTCAGGGTCATCAATCTCAGGAACATTTTGTATTGGCCATATGTCTCACATTGTCTTGCATGTTTCCTCCAAAGTCGGTGGCCTGAAGTTGCCAGCGCGCAGCACAGCGCAGTCCAACCCTTGGCATCCACAGCGTCGAGGCACCCCGCTGCCTTGGCTGCCTTCAATGTCACTTCGAAGGCTACAGCACGGTCCTCGGTGAAAACGGAGGTCGTCAACAAGTGTTCAAGGAAGGAGAAGTGACATATCAAGGCCCCAAGAACAACTCAAAAAAAATCTGGGTACACAGCAAGTCCGGCTTGGGTGCCTCAAAACACAATTTTGAGGAGCAACTACCACCAAGCCCCTCACAAAAGCACGGACAAATCCTCGTCATTGGGTTCTTGAAGCGACAAGGCTCATCTTTGAAGTTCTCTCGCCTAATTGCTTTCACCTTCCAGGGTCGATGGCAACCAGCATAACACTCCCTCATGTAAGTTTAACCACGAAAACGATGAGATCGCAGTAGCAGTAGCAGTAGTAGCAGCAGCAGGAGTAGGAGTAGGAGTAGGAGAAGTAGAAGTAGAAGTAGTAGTAGTAGTCGTCGTCGTAGTAGTAGCAGTAGTAGTAGTAGTAGTTAGTAAGTAGTAAGTAGTAAGTAGGGTACTCAGTAGTAATATAGGTGGGTAGGTAGGTAGGTCGGTCGGTAGGTACGTACGTACGGAAGCGAGCAAGCAAGCAAGCAAGCAAGCAAGCAAGCAAGCAAGGAAGTAGTAGTGGTAGTGGTAGTGGTAGTGGTAGTAGTCGTAGTAGTCGTAGTAGTCGTAGTAGTAGTCGTCGTCGTCGTGGTGGTAGTAGTAGTAGTAGCAGTAGTAGTAGTAGTGGTGGTGGTAGTGGTAGTGGTACCAGTAGTACTAGTAAGCAGTAATAAGTAGTACTAGTAGAAGCAGCAGCAGCAGTGGTAGTGGCAGTAGGAGCAGTAGCAGTGGCAGTGGCAGTCGCAGTGGCGGCAGCAGCAGCAGGAGTAGCACCAGCAGCGGTAGTAGTAGTGGTGGTGGTGGTGGTGGTGGTAGTAGTAGTAGTAGTAGCAGTAGCAGAGGAGTAGAAGTAGAAGGAGAAGCAGAAGAATAAGTAGTATTTGATGTTTTTGATATAGTTGTAGTAGTGGTGGTGGTGGTGGTGGTGGTGGTAGCAGCAGCAGCAGCAGCAGTGGTAGTAAGCAGTAGAAGTAGTCTGGCGGTGTGCAGACGATCACTTCACTGGATGTCCTGTATCGCTTGAGGTATCGCTTGGGTATCGCTAGGGGGCGTCGCCGAGCAGCTAGACAATTCGGAGAAGTCAAGGATGTCATCTATCTTCCCAATTGTCCATCCCATCCATTACGATCCCATCCAATCTGACCTAGTCCCAAGCTAGGTATCTATGGATCCTTGGCTAAGGAAACCGGCTGCGGTTCACACAGCATTGTTGCAAATCACTGATGATTGTCGCCATGGTATTGCCTCTTCAAGGGTGGCATTGCTGCTCACTACATGTTTCTCAAGGCGGCTGCCCTATTAAAGTAATCATCGCGTGTTTTCACCCTTGCACATACTAGAAGCGCGCTACTTGAGAGTAGTATGGAGAAAAAAGAGGGACATGCCAATTTCCAGTGAACATGAAACACATCTGCAGCAAGGAACTGTCCAAGGCATAAGCGCGTGATTTGCACAAGGAACACTACCTGAGGGTCTGAAGCTGTGGCAACCCAAGGGAGGTGTTCTGTTATAGCAAAGCTGAAACTGGGCCACTGATGATGTAGCAAGCAACAAAGAAGGACACCTCTATGGCCTGTATACTAACATCATATATAGATGAATGCTGAGAGGATGCAAATAGGAAGCTTTTCAAAGTAATGTTGAATCCAAATTAGTATATAATGGGACGGAATAACAAAAAGCTTTCGCCAAATTATTCACACAACCTGATTAGTTTGATGGGTCGGAATAACAAAAAGTCTTTTCTCCCAGTTTTCTTTAGAGGTTTGTTTGTGTTTCTATTGTTCTGCTATTGCTCACGCTTTAACTTCCTTACTTAACTCACCTGAGGTTTGCTTGATTCATGGAATTATGACCTGAAATTCGTCTTCAATCATGCTTATTAAAACTCAACGAGTTCATTGCTCCAAACAATTTTTCAAGGGGGTAGTACACCAGCCCAGGGTAAGTGAATAATACGAATTGTTTAGGGGGTGGGATTAATATGCAAACTTGAAGCCCTAAGGGCAAATATTCTAACTTTGTTATTGTTCTGCTTTTGCTGCCCTTTGAAATCCTTACTTAACTCTTCTGAGGTTTGCTTGATTCATAGAATTCTAACCTGGAAATCGTGTTCAAAAACGCTTATTAAAACTCAACGATTTCATTGCTCCAAACAATTTTTCAAGAGGGTACAGTAGTACACCAGCCCAGGGTAAGTGAATAATACGCATTGTTTAGGGGGTGGGATTAATATGCAATCTTGGGGCCCTAAGGGAAACACTATAACTTTATTATCGTTATATATTGTTTTGCTACTGCTGCCTTTCTAACCTTGTTTATCTCTTCTACGACTACGACTACGACTACGACTACTACTACTACTACTGCTACTGCTACTACTACGACTACCACCACTACCACCACTACCACCACTACCACTACCAGTTCACTACGACTACCACTACGACTACTACTGCTACTACTACGACTACCACCACTACCACCACCACCACCACTACCACTACCACTACGACTACCACTACGACTACGACGACTACTACTACTACTCCTACTACTACTACTTCTTTTGGGTGGCGGGGTTACTCTCCAGACCCTCTGGATTGTTGGCTAGGGAGGGGGGGGCCCTTACTAATTAGGATCGAACATCATCTTGATTTTCACAGCAGGAGGACGCAGCAGCTTCATTCAATGTCCCGCCTTCCAACCAGTCATTCCCCAGCTCGAAGCTGCCAAGTGCAAACAAGTCTTGCCATCGTAGCGACGCACCGCAGCCGCCTTAGGCGACGCGAGACGCGTCAAGAGCGCTTCGTCTAGGTGGATGTCCATCTGGATGGCGATGCTCAAGGGGCTACTTCCAAACCTCAGGAAGCTGAAATCATCAAAGATATTCGGCGTGCAATTAAAACAGAATGACATCTCCCAGTTTGACCCGTAAAAATAGACCAGTCTTCCCAGCCAGGGCCAGGGAGGTCCCCCCATTGAAATAGACACCCATATAGAATGCGCTGATGATGGTTGATGGATGTTGATGGCTTTGTCTCAGGCGATCTCCCCTTCGAGAAAAGAAGAATTGTTTCAGCAAACACCAAAGCGACAAAGTGGAAGATCCAAGAGCCTGCTCCAATAGGCCTCGCTTGGCAAGCTCGTCCATGAACCAGGTGATGGACTGGGAATCGCCACTCTTCACCAGGAACATCAGTGGAGTTGTCATGCCCAAGGCTGGCTGATACTTGAAGTACGTGGTATTCTCAAAGGCTGGAACACCTTAGCAAACTGTGTTTTTGCGGGAAACCACATTCTCGGGAGAGATGGGCTAACGTGATCTAAAGGCAGTCGAGGCGTGCCGGGGCACTGCGTTCCAAAACGTCCTCCTTTTTTTGGCGCCGGTGCTACTGGAACCAACTTGCTGTTGAGCGCCGGAGGCTCGGAAGGCTGATTGGGCTTGGTGGGATCCTTCCAAGGCTTCTCTAAAGGTCCAACCGGGAGCTGCAAATCGGCGTCGCAATTCTCGAAAAGCCATCGCACACACTTTTGGAAGTCCTCCCTTGCAGCCTTGAATGGGCTCAAACGGCTTTGATGTTGGTTAACATGTCTGGCTCTCCTCTTCAATCAGGGGTCTTGATAGCTACAGGGACTCTTTTGAACAATCTCAGACCGTCAAAATTGCAAAGCGCTCGACGTGTGGGAGACATGTGGGAGGAACTGCTCGGCATCTACACTGTGTTTGATCTATACTCATCTTGTGTAAGGCTGGGAAGTTGCGTCCCAGTTTCGCCGCCTCGCCCCCGAAGGGTGCATCCCAGAACAAAAGCTGTAGGGCTTTAGGAAAAAGAAGGCCGTCTTAATGGGTTTCATGTCGATGGTTGTCATACCACGGGCATGTACGGTATGACTCCAAATTCAAACAGGATGAAACTGATATGAAACGATGTGATATGTGATGTGTTTAATCGTTCAATTATTGAAGCTCACATCGGGGAATCCACAGCGGGTAGTGGAAAGTTGACAAAAGTTGCCGCCATGTCTTCCACAAGGTTGTTTTCTTGAGCGAAGCCCATCTCTTGGTTATGGTTCAGCTCCCCCTGCTCCCCGAGAAACTGTCTCAGTGTGGATCGCTTGCTGCAAATCGGGCTGTTTGGCTTCCATGGTGTGGCGGATCTGGGACACCACAGTGCTTTGCTGCTTCTGTTGGGCTGCATCACGTTGCTTCCTGAGTAATTGGTCAATGTCAGCCCAATGAAAAAAGCACCACAAACCAGCCCAATGGCATCCATTCCCAGAACTGATAGAGAGAACTCCTCAAAAACAAACCAGTTGACATGAATTTTGCTATGGGCAAAGCCGTTGAAAGGCAAAAAACACACATATATATATATATATATATTGAAAATTATTGAAATATAATATCTTGAGGGGTAACTCCATCATCATCCATCAATCCCCCCCCAGCCGAGGCTTTCAACCCCCTGAACGTTGACGTAGCTTCTGTAGCTGCTTCATCTCACCTTCTTTGCTTTGACGCGCATTTCGCAGTGTGGTAATTGCTTGGTTGAAATGGAGGACGGCAGAGTGCAAAGGAGCCAATCCATGAAACTCCATCGTTTGCGCCATCATTTTCAGAGACTCTTTGGCTACGCAGCTGCTAATTGTCTTGAAGATGTTCTCCGCAGTAACTTCTTCCTCCTTCTTCCAAAAACCTGTGCGTGTCTGGGAGCATGGAAATTCTTCCGGTTGACAAAGGTTACATAGACTTTTTCACTCTTTTTTGAGCCTGAGCCTTTCTAGGGTATGTATGACACGGGTTGTGTTGTTTGAGAGTGTCGACTGTGGGATACTGAGTCCAACAACCTCATTCCTGCCACACCTGTTCGAATCAGCCGCTCAGGCATAGCGTGCAGGAGCGTCTCGCCACGCCCGTGGGAAGCTACGCCGGCCCCACTTTCCAGCATCATTCGCAACAAGGTGCTGTTGCTACCTTTCCTGATGTGAAGCGCACAATCCAAGCAATGCAAGCTGACAACGCACACAAACGAGTGCGTTAAAACAACCGGGCCAACTTTCCACGGCGCAAACTGCAGGAGTCCGTCTATGAACACCATCACTAGGAGTGGCAAGAGGAATCTTGGGTGTCAATTTCAAAACAAGCAAGCAAGGGATGAAGTGACCTTTGCTCCTAGTAGTAAGGCCAGGAGCCCCTAGTAGCGTCCTTGCTCCTAGTAGCGATGCCAATTGTTACTAGGAGGGATGAAGTGACCTTTGCTCCTAGTAGCTTCTTGCTCCTAGTAGTAAGGCCCTTGCTCCAAGTAGTAAGGCCAGGCGCCCCTAGTAGCGTCCTTGCTCCTAGAAGCGATGCCCTTTGTTCCCGAGAGCGTCTGCGAAGGGTTCTTCGTAAAAAACATCTGCAGAACTACGTATCATCTACATCTTCACATCTTCACCTCTGCACATCCACATTCTCACCTATATCTCTGCTCATGTTCTCATCTGCACATCTACATCTCTGCTCATCTTCACATCTGCACACCTACATCTCCGCTCATCTTCACATCTCTGCTCATCTTCCTACATCTCCGCTCATCTTCTCATCTGCACATCTGCATCTCTGCTGATCTTCACATCCTCACATCGACATCTCTGCTCATCTTCATCTTCACACATCTACATCTCTGCTCATGTTCATATCTGCACATCGACATCTCTGCTCATCTTCACATCCTCACATCTACATCTCACGTCTTCACCTCTCGCTCTTCTTTACTTTCTCTCTTAAGGCCGGGGGCGGTGCCACCGGAGCACCACGAAACGCAACCCTCTACGGAGATCATGCATGTCGAGGGTGCGAAATGCAGGCGAGAGTGCGATTTGGTTCTGTCCGGCGCAACCCTCTGCGCAGATCGCGCGCGTCGAAGGCGCGAAATGCAGGACCCTCTGCGGGGATCGTGCGTGTCGAGGGCGCGAAATGTGCGTTTTGGCCCGGTCGCGGGCAACCCTCTGCGGAGATCGTGCGCGTCCAGGGCGCGAAATGCAGGCGAGAGTGCGTTTTGGCCCGGTCCGGTGCAACCCTCTGCGGAGATCGTGCGTGTTGAGGGCGCGAAATGCAGGCGAGAGTGCGTTTTTTGGCCCGGTCCGGCGCAACCCTCTGCGGTGTCGACTTTGTAGTACAACTTTAGTACGCGGAGTATCTGTGGAGCTGGAAGATGAGAACTGGCGACTTTCTAGTACAACTTTAGTGCGCGGAGTATCTGGGGAGCTGGAAGATGAGAACTGGCGACTTTGTAGTACAACTTTAGTACGCGGAGCAAGCTGTGGAGCTGGAAGCTGAGAACTGGCGACTTTGTAGTACAACTTTAGTACGCGGATGAGTCATCTCTCGCGGCTGAGCCATCTCTCGCGACTGCTCTGGCGCCCCTGCAGCTGAGTCATGTCTCCCGACCACCCGGCTATCTTGAGAGGTTGACAAAATTTGGCTACTTTGCTTACTCATAAGTGGCTGCCACAAAAGGGTCATCGTGACGTTAGTATGTGTGTACTTCACCTTCATGACAAACGATGTTCGCTTGGAATACACGAGTCGCTTGTCATGATCGTGACGTCGTTTACTCTCAGGTCGCCCTGTTCGTGGAAACTTCAGTGTGAAATGTGCGTTCTTCAGTTCTGTTTGAACCTCTTCAGCGTTGTACTTGCACAACTAAGGTTGACGTTGCGCTGCCGTTGCATCGACGCATCTACATCTACACCCCCCACCTCTCTACATTTACATCTTCACACGCTCACAGCCGCAGATCTACCTCTCCACCTCACCACACCCACACATCTGCACATCTATATCACATCTGTACATCCACACTGTCGCTCCTTCACATCTGTCCTGTCTTTCTTTTTACATATCTTTTCTCTCGTCTCTGTGCATTTACATCTTCGCACGCTCACATCCACAGATCTACCTCTCCACCTCCATACATCTTTAGATCTATATCGCACCTGCGCATCCACACTGTCACTCCTTCACATCCACCC